TTGGACTGGACATTGCAAGAACCAACTTTTCTTCATATAGTCTTTATTGCCACATGAATAGACAGAACTTGGCTTTTTGTCACAGCTGAAAGTTGAGATCTCTGATGCATTTTGCTTAGTATTTGTTACGAAGTTGGGGAGAGTATTCATGAATTGGAAGGCAGGAAGTTAGAATTTGTTGGTAAAAAATGATTTTGGGGAAGAGTGCTGTGGGTCCCTTTAAGAGCCTGTGCTTGGAAGTTTATAAATGCAGGTGCACAGAGAGTGCCCGAATGGAAACATTCTGTATAGAACAGCCAAGCAGCACTTTTTCCAAGACAACAAGTTTGAATTTGGCCAATTAATTTAAATGAAGCACCTAGATACAGAAAGCCAATTGAGCTTAAATCTGATGGTGTTGACAACCTTAAACCAATCATAAGAATTTGATTATGTTATTACAGGTATATAAGATGAGGACATTTGGAAAATCAGGGATAGCCACCAGCCAGAGTTAGCACCATTCAGGTCTCAAGGAAAGCCCATCTAATTAATCAAAGGTACCACGGTATTTAGGCTCAAAGTCATCACTGAAGAAATTATAGAGACAAAACATCACTGACAGCAGAATTAGTGGAAGAAAGGTGTTTGTGAAAAGTGGAGATGATAGAATATTTCAGAAGACAGTCTGTGCGAACTTGGAGAGATTAAGTTATAACTCATTGTTCTCTTATTAATTGGGTTTATATTAGTGGGACTTATCTTTATTTAAGCAGCATTCTACTAGAATTTAGGCCAGTTAGGAAGTAGTTAGTAGTATAAGGGGGAATTGTCGGTTTGTTAGTAATTCTGTTACTTTGTTCACTGTTGAGTTAAATAAATAAATTGTTTCTTGTCATTTGTAAAATGGAGATCAGGGATAGTCTTTCTTTTAACCATTCTTCTAATAGATTATGAGGGGAAAGGCGAGCTTCTCTGGGTGTTCCAGGGGTAACTATTGGAGGGGAGCCCTTACTCTGGTCATACCAGATTGGGGCTTGTGTTTAAGTTTAGTTATTAGAGGGGTTCAGCTATTCCCCCTCCGTAACAGTATTACAGTGTAATGCCAGACCGCATTATGTCAAAAACAAAATGCCACAAATGTTGGAGATCTGAAATAAAAACAGAAAACGCTATCGACTGCACATCTGGCAGAATCTGTGGGAAGCGTGTTAGGGAGCTGAATTTTTCTGTTGGAGATGGGAATCTCACTCACCCTTGAATCCCTCCTCTGCCTTAGCAGTGCCACTGAGCAGGAGCTTCTGGAGAAAATGTCGAGACAGGCCTTCCCAAGGTGGAGAGAGGTGGGCTGATGGCTAAGCCGTCAGGTTAAAAGATGCCACCATTCCCAGAAACATCTGCCTCATCCATGAAGTTAAACTTAAAGGTTAGTGAATGGCCTGCCTCATTCTCACAACTCCCAAACATCAGTCAGAATAAACATCATTTGTATGGGCACTTGGAAATCTTTCGCGAAAGCTTTTATACCTCCTGGAGCCATCACAAGTCACATTCTCTGGTGATGGTATTCCAATTTGTGAATTACCCTTCTCCCTCACTTTCCAACTTACTAACCTCAGTAGCCAGCACATCATCTGCTACTATTTTCACCACCTTCAGCATGATGCCATCATCAAATACACGTTGCCGCCTTCTTCCTTTTCCGCATTCTGAAGCGACCATTCTCTCTGCCACACCCTGTGCACTACTCAGTCACTCAAACACTTCCTCCCCCTTTCCTATTGCATCTTTCCATGCAAGTGCAGAAAATACAACATCTGCCCTTTAACTGTCAGAGGTCCCAAACATTCCTTCCAACTGAAACAACAATTTATTTGTACTTTCCATTCTATGTGCCATATTCACGGTTCACAATATAATCTTCTCTACAATGGGGGCAGCAAACAGACAGGGTGACCGTTTGCTGGGACGCCTTCATTTGGTCCACAAGCAGGACCCTCAGCTTCTCGTCATGTGTTATTAAAATTCTCCACTGTGCTCCCATTACTACAGTGTTCCAATGATGCTCAACGTACAGCTGAGGAAAAGCACAATCTTTCTGCTGAACACTTTGTGGCCTAATGTGGTCAATATTGAATTCACCAATCTTAGATCACAGCCTCAGTCTCCATTTTGTTTTTTTTGTGTGGTTGAGGTTTTTCTAGTTTCTTTCTTAATATATTTACTTGGTGGCCAGGCCACTGCCCTTAATAGCTCAGCTAGACAATATTTTGTTTCTTGTCCAATTGCCACCCCCTTTGATTTTACACAATGAAACATTTTATCATTTAATCTGTCCTGTTCTTCACCCAATCATAGAACTTCCTTTTTGTTCTTCTGCACTTATCTCCCACACCCCATTTTCATGCGCTGAAAGCAGGTTACGTTTCTAACTTTTAGCAGCTTTGCTGAAAAGTCAGACTCTGTGTCTCTGTTCACAGAAAGAGTCAGATCTACTGTTTACAGGATTTTCTGCTTTCATAGTTTTTCAGCCTCTGTTGTACTTAACTTTTGCATACAAAGGTCTCTAATTCACAAATGAGACCAAAACAGGGTGGAAGCAGAGAAGAAAGTGCAAAAGGCATTGGAATAAACGTGGGAGAACAATCGGAGGTGAAATTACTAGGGTTGAGGTATCCAGCTGCTTACTTGGCTCTGGTTGAAGACAGTTTGAGATCCATTAAAGGTTAACTGATTTTATTAAAAGAGTGTCAAGAAGCTTTTTTGTCTGTTCTCCTTCGGGAGAAGAAAGAATACCTCCAAAGTTGAAAAGCAAAGGACTTGTCTGTTTCTTTAGCGTTCCAAGACTGTTCGAGTTGATTTACTCAAGTTTCATAAAGTGTGATTTACACAAACTCTCAAATGTGTTGAAAACATGAACTGAATTTCATCTCTCCTCTTCCTCTTACATATGCAACTGTACTTTGCTAGATTTTCAAAACAGAGTTACTTTGCAGCACAGTTTCAATAGTTCCAGGGTTATCAGTGTTGTATGATAAAGTACCCTGTTATTTCTAGTTCATGATGGAATACCAACTAAAGAACCTGTGCCTTCACAAACCCCATTAACACCAAGATAATTGTTCAGAAAGCAATACAAATATTAAATATTAAGTTATCAAACTAGATTTTTACATGATAACATATTAATTTAGAAACAAACAACATTGCATCTTAAAACTGAAATACATTCATAAAAACCAAACACAGGTACAGCAAATTTTTAACATTGAAACTGATAGAGATGTGACGAATATACACAATATTTTGTCAGTTAAGATACTTCACCAGCACTGGAAGCAAGTGGCAATTTTGTAGTTTCAATGCTACAATTTCTGATTTCATTATTATCCAGTAAATATTGTTCTGTACCTCTGACATTTGTAGCATCACACTTTAGATATTAGCCAGGAAAAGCAAGGAAACTGATCATATGCTTTCCAAGATATATATACACAATAGCAGCCAAAACTTGTTTATGTAGCAGTAACTTACTTCATCTGTAGCATTCTTGTTCTGTTTGAATTCTTGTCTTGCCCAATTCTTAAGATATTGTTTATCTCCTTCATTTGGAATTTGATGAATTACTTTCAATATCTTCCTGTACAAACTCAGAACCTTCTGTCGATGCAAGAACTGGAAAATGACAACTAACATAATCAGGCTCAGTTTGTAATACGGAGTGAAAACAAAATAACATTTGCTCATTTTAAATAAAGCATGATGTTCTTTTTGCAAGGTACATTTTTCCATTTTTGATACTGACATTGAAGACTATAATGTAGGTTACATGCAGAATAAAATTTACTCTGCTCCATCAAATTCAAATTCAACCTCAGAACAGCAACTTCACTGTATAATTGGAATCACTGGACAATGCCAGTTACAGACGAACAAGGATGACAAAGACAATCAGAAAACTTTTAGAGCCATCCAGTCCATCAATTCATAAAGTCAGAATGATTCCAGAACTGAAACAGGCCAGCCAGCCTGCTGGGTCTATGCTGACTCTTGTCAGATCTATGCCAGCTCTTGCTCGGAACAACTCATCCAGTTCCACAACTGACCCTTTTCCCCTGCATTGTGTCTCTCTCCAGCTAATTACGAAAATCTTTTTTGAAAATCTCAATTGAATCTGTCTTTACAAAAACTTACAGGTTGTGTGGCCACATCATTCACTCACAGCAGAACAAGTTTTTGCCTGTGTCTTTTGTGAATCCCATTAAATCTTGTGTTATCAGCTTCTCAATTGTTCTGTCAACTGGAAGTTATCCCTGTCTACTCTGTCCAAACCGCTTATGATTTTAAACACTTCTATCCAAAATTTTCTTAATCTTTTCTTCTGTTATCTATTTACATATGGTGGCTCTCTGAAAAAACTAACTGCTGAGTCTCATCTGTAATGAGTTTCCAAATTATGACCTGCAAAAATGTATCCAGTCTCAAAGTGAGGCTAAAAAGCAGGTTTATGTCCTGTTGAACAGGGATATTATATCGACAACCTTCCAGTCATATGATATAAATTCCATATCGAAGGATTTTAAATGATTATTGTAAAAGCCTTTGCAATTTCTTCTGACTCCCAGCTGCATTCTAGATAACTGAGTATCAGAGCTTTGTGTCTTTTAAAATGTTTCTCATTAATACTTCCTTGACTATAACTATCTGAAAATAATTCCAGGCCTTGTGACTCAGAATTAGGGACACTACCACCGTGCCGGCTGCAGTCTGCTCCAAGAATGAGCAGACACAGCGTCTATAAGGCCGATGGAGCTTGAACTCGGACCTTCCTGCCCAGAGGTAGGGGAACGCTGGTCTGCAGGGGGAAGGCTCCTGTTGCTGTGCTCGGAAGCGGAGGGTCCCCGGGATTGCCTGCACGCTCTGCTCCCATTGTGATATCACTGAGCTTGGAACGCCGGGTGAACGGGCGCGCGGCTCTCACCTGCCTCAGGCTAAGGGCACCAGGCAGTAACCTGGCCGCCGCCATCTGCACGTCGCACCTTGATGCGCTCACAGGCAGGACCCACCTCCTCCCCGGGGGCGGGGCAGCTCAGGCCGACACTTCAAGCAAAATCAAATGCTGCGGATTCCGGAAGACCTGCAGTGTAAACAAAAACACCCCGCAGCAAATGATATCGGTAAGAACAAAAGTGAAGTAACGCACAGGAACAGGCCCTGCAACCCTGTGCCGATGATCATGCCCTGACTAAGCCGGGAAAAAAAAACCTTCTGCCCTTATTCGGTCTGTATCCCTCTGTTCCCTCCATATTCATGTCCCCATTCAGATGACTCTTAAATGTCTTCAATATCCCTGCTTCCACCACCTCCTTTGGTAGTGCATTCCAGGCTGCTACTCTCTGTGTGAAAAACTTCCGTCGCACATCTCCCTTAAACTTTCTTCCTCTGATCTGGAACCTGTGCCCCCTTGTAATTGAAACTTCAACCCTGGGAAAAAACCTCTGACTATGCACCCTATCTGTGGCTGTCATAATTTTGTAGACTTCTGTCAGGTCTTCTCTCAGTCACCATCTTTCCATTGAAAACAATTCCCTAGTCTTTTTAACCTTTCCTTATAGACAATGCCCTTGAGACCAGGCAATATTCTGGTGAAGAGATAGTAAGAACTGCCGATGCTGGAGTCAGAAATAACACAGTATGGAGCTGGAGGAACAACCCTATCACCAGCCCACCTACCTTCCCCAGCCCGACCCTCCTCTATTTATTTCAGAGCTCCCTTCCCCATTTCTGAAGAAGGGTCCCAACCCAAAACGCCAGCTTTCCTGCTCCTCTGATGCTGTCTGGCCTGCTGTGTTCCTCCAGCTCCACACTGTGTTATCTGTTAATATAGAAGGTGAACTTTCTCTGCACTCTCTCCAAAGCTTCCACGTCCTTCCTAGTAATGTAACGACCAAAACTTCACATAATACTCCAAATACGGCCTAACACACGTTTTATATACCTGCAACATGGTTTCCCAAGTCTTGTACTACATGCCCCGGCCAACGAAGGCAAGCATGCCATGATGCCTTCTTAATCACTTTGGCCACCTGTGTTGCCATTTTTAGGGGAACTGTGGACCTGCACACCCAGGTCCGTCTGTATATTACAGATTCTGCCATTTACAGTATAATTCACACCTCAATTTCGTCCTCCAAAATGCATCACCTCACATTTGGCTGGATTAAACTCCATCTGCCATATCTGTGCCCAAGTCGCCAACCTATCTATATCCTGTTGTATCCTTTCACAATTGTCGGCACTATCAGCAACTCTGCCAATTTGCTAATCAGATCACCCACGTTTTCCTCCAGATCATTTATATATAAACAACAGAGGACCTAAGACTGATCTGTGCAAAACATCACTAGTTATTGGTCTCCATTTTGAAAAACACACTTCCACTGTCACCCTCTGTCTTCTATGACAAAGCCAGTTTTGTATCCATCTAGCCAGCCCACCCCGTATCCCACGTGATTTTAGTTTTTTGTACCAATCTGCCATATGGGACTTTATCAAATGCCTTACTAAAGTCCATATAAATGACATCCACAGCCTTTCCCTCATCAGTTATCTTTGTCACCTCTTGAAAAAATTCAATCAGGTTGGAAAGAGATGACCTTCCCCAGACAAAACCATGGTGCCTATCACTGACTATTTTCTTCCAAATGTATGCTGTCCCTCAGTATTTTCTCCAAGAGCTTTCCCACCACAGACATCAGGCTCACTGGCCTATAATTTCCTGGATTATACATGCTTCCTTCTTTAAACGAAGGAACAACATTGGCTTATCTCCAGTCCTCTGGAACCTTTCCTGTAATCAAAGAGGATGTGAAAATGAACCTCCAGGTGTTGGCAGAGAGAAAGACTTTCCACTTTGTAACATTACATTCCGATGTAAGACATACTATCAGTCTGGGATTCCCCCCTTTGACATATGGCAGCAATTTGATTCCATTCAGAACCCAGAAATGTTTTCAAGGGTGTGGGGGAAAGCTGTTATTAATTAATGTAATTCACCAACTGTTGTTGATTGCTCTTAGATCAAGCAGCTTTCTGAGACTTTCATTGATTCTTGTTGCACTGTTGATTAGAAATATGGTAGTTCAGTTAAAATTTGCAACAATCAGTACCGAAGGATTTAGCTTTTTTTGAGTTTGGTTTATTGTTGTCATATGTACCGAAATACAGTGAAAAGTGTTGTTTTGCATGCTATACAGGCAGATCATACCGTACAAAATGCATCAAGGTAGCAGAACAGAGTGCAGAATACAGTGTTACAGCCGCAAAGAAGGTGCACAGAGAGAGAGATTAATATTAACATTTGAGACGTTGTTCAAGAGTCTGATAACAGCAGAGAAGCTGTTCTTGAATCTGTTTGTATGCGTATTCAAATTTTTATATCTGCTGCCTGACAGAAGAGGGTGGAAGAGAATATGACCGTGGTATGAGACGTCTTTGATTATGTTGGTTGCTTTCCCAAGCCAGTGAGAAATATAGATGGAGCCAATGGATGGAAGGCTATTTTGAGTGATGGACTGGACTGTGTTCATGCCTTTAGACATATTCTGTCATTTTACTGATAACAAAACAATGGTGTTTATGCTGACCTCGACAATAGCTGCCCCAAGACTGATCTCGGAGTCTAATTCTACTGTTTAAAGGATATTTTTGGGTAGAAGGATGCTGCTACAATTCCTCGATTGTGTATAAAGGCCCTATTTGGTTTACAGTGGTAATAATTCAACTACTATTCAATCTTACATGAATAGCCTGTTAACATGTGAGATAGTTTATTGCAATTATGCACAAGTTATCAGTCTTAGTAAAAAGATCTCTGGGAGGACTGTGGATATAGGTCTACTGTCCAAAAGATCTAAAAAACGGTATTCTGTCTTATAACCACCAAAACCAATGTGACAGCAGATTGTGTGGAACCTAATACAGTCTCCAACCCTTTCAGAACCATTATCTTATACATGATATGGTACCGAACAATGACATTCTCAACTAATCCAAACATGCAGTCGCTTGGTTTGATGACTGAGAATTCTTCAAAGTTATACACAGCTTTTACTGAAAGATTACCTGATATAAAACAAAATTTTCACTAAACCAGAGTCAAGGTAAACACTAAATACTATTCTTAGGTAACCTCCAATACTCTAAAACACTTATTCACAACCAGTTAAACATGACACAACAGGCAAATTGAAGTTAATTATAAACACGTCATCACATGTTAAACAGTAAATACGACTAAAACAGATGTTACGAATTGGCTGTGCAGTCCACTCAACAAATATCAACTGCGAAGTCTTTTAAAACTCCATTTTCCAAAAAATTCAGCTCCTCTTTTAGGATTTAGCAGAACCACTTAAACTCTGCTTATGGTGAATATACACCAACAAACCCACTAATGCTACCTTCCGCTTATTCTCAGCTCCTGGATCCAGCTTCCATCCTTTTCAGCCTGCCTGTACTGCACCACTTGGATCATCATCTAAGCTCATGTGGCAGAGTCTTTTTAGATTGTTTCAGTTCATTTCAGTCTCCCCAGAAATGTTGGTCTCCAATACAGTTTCAATCCTAGCTTTCTTAGAACCTGGAAGTGTCAATTTACTATGTTTCCCTTTTCAAATAGGATCTGTCAAAAAATAAACTTTTAAATCATGGATAAATCCAAGGGATATTTTTCGGTAAGTGGTTCAGATAGCAAAGAAACAGCTCAAAGGAAAAAAAAAAACGAACTCTTATTGAACAGGTCTGGGAGATGAGAGTTGCTCAGTATAAATTTCCTAATCCGTTCTGGATTGTGGTTACTTCCTTTGCCAACTGTGATTTTGAATGTTAGGTGTACTGCAAAATTATGTCCACGTTGCTCCCAGAAATGAAATTGATACTAACAGTCACATCAGCAACTTACTATAAAGTCTGTTCCCAATCCTGGCATATTCAATATACAATCTATTGACAAGCTAAAGAAATTTAACAATAAAGCTTGCTTGGCATGAGACCAAGTCTATATCGGTTATTTGTTCACTCCATACTAATACAGGCACTAATACCGTGATTTTGCTTCCTTTTAAATTCTGTTAATATACCCAGGACACACACCAGTAAGGATGTTCTACTGCACGTTAATGAAATCAGTAATTCATCCTTAACTGAAGCACTCCTATACAATGCTGGGTGCCAGACTCTGGAAAGGATGCCAAGGTCTCTGAGAGGTTGCAAATTTCATGTACTAGAAAAAGGAGAGCAAGATCTTTGTATTTTAGGCATTGGCAAAAATAACCAAGGCTAATGGGAAATAGTTCAAGACACCTAAATGTAGCTTTTTCCTCCCACAGCCAATGGAAAAAGATAGTTTCCATCACTGCCTAGGCTCAAAAAGGAAATAAGTAGTGTGCCTTCAGCCCACAATCACATTGTGATTTGAAACAAAATACTGAAATATTTTAAACAACATCATTTGAAGGTTTCTATTCCAAAACATGTTTGCATTCAAAAGAAAATCCCAACATTAAGATGGATTATGTGTCATCAAAAGAACCAATATCTCTTTAAGAAGCAGAATGGAACAAGCATTTAGTAATTGATTTATTGACATACAAAAAGATACAAAGGTTCATACTTGGGATTGTACTCTATTTCCAAATAGCACACTTAACGATTTCATTTAAAAGGTCACATTTGTAAATAATATCCACATTACCAAACAACATCTGATACTCAAACCTCAGACAGGTTCTCACATTTCATACATTAAACTGTGCCTTTGGCACAAACCACCATGAACACAGTGGTACAGTTCTCAATGTGAACAGAGCTTTTCACATTAAAAAGCTCAATTTTAACATCACATTCTCAGTCACAGAACAAAGGTTTCTCTTGCTGCTAATCTGCATTAATTAGTACATTAAATATTACAGTATGTGCATTAAATGATTTGAGATAACAATGAACAATATGGAACATGTCAATCACTGTGTTAATGATCAGCTGCCGTCACTAGTTCAAACCACTGTCTAAGAGCATCACTGAGTGTTTCTGGGAGGGCATTCACATTTCGTAGAATTATATAGAATGGGAATGGGAATTCTTCCATATATGATCTAATTTCTGGACTTTCACCTTGATCCTTGAATATAGGGACTTTAATGTCCAGAATGGAATCCTGGAAGTGTAAACAAGAACAGAAGTTACAAGACTGCAAGAGATTTGCTTCCACACCGTTTTTCAGCCAATGTTAAACAATAACTTCTACCTTACTAGTATGATACTAACATCGTGATGAAACGACAAGATTTGCTAATTTAATGTACATGAATTTTGTCTCATCAATAAGCAACTGAAAATTAGATAACTCTCATTATTCAATCATATAACTTGAATATGATCCAAAGCATGTGACATTATCTCTGCTTCCCCCATCTCATTGACAAGTGGATGATGTTTTATAGAATTATACAAACTACAGAATCAATTAGTTCATTCACTAAGCTTTCAATGGGAGCAATTTGAGTTTATTTCCAGTAATTATATAGCTCTTACCTTAGAGTCAGGATTGTCCAGCACAACAAAGATGACAAAAATATTGCTGCGTCGAGCAGTCTCAACAGCTGCTGTAACTCGCTCTTTCCCCTCCAAGAACAGACCTCGTCCATCAGACACTATCAACAGTAACTGTGCTATTTCTGCCAAAAAAAGTGTACATTTCCACGATTCTGGGATTTATTTCACCACTTTAATTTATATACAAAAGGCTAATCAAATTTTCTTTTAGAAATTGTACTAGTTTAAAACATCGCATAAAATAACTTTTTGCCTCACTAACCATTAAAACACGTCTGTCATCTCAACATACCACTGCCAGAATCCCTATAAAAAAACTGTTTTTTCCTCGTGGCATTTAAACCACGCAGGGCACTTCCTGAAAACTGGTGTGATAGCTTACTGCCATCATAAATCTTCATTTGGAACCTTACTGTGAGATTCAACAATGTTAGTATGACTAATTCCTTGATGACGGGATTCTGCATTCATTTACTTTCAGTTGAGGATGATCAGGAAGTAGATATCAATGCTCAATTTGTTCCATGCTTCCACTCTCAGGGAAGATAGCATTTTCATGTTCTTTAAAGTGGTAGGCAAAATTACAAATTGAAGCCTCAGAACAGAGCTAACTTTTAGCTTGAGAGCACAGTAACACCTGCACAGTTAATCTGAATCAAAACACAGAGTACTCAACCTATACCCTTCAATATTTTCACCTGTACAAGAAAATGCACAAGACTTTGGTATAATTTCTCAGTGCATCTTTCAGAAAAGCCCAGACGTCTTAGTGAGGTTTAGTGCAGCGTGTTCATTGTTCGACATTTACAGTGCGAGTTGGCAAAAAAGAACTGTCTTTCGCATATCTAATAATATGATTGTGGCACAGAAGTGTAGAAGGCTTCTTGAATGTGGACAGCAAGTAATAAATTAGTGTTAAAACTCTGACCTGGTTTTCCCAACTGGGACTGGTCCTGTGCTGCAATAAACATGTTGGCAGCAGATTCCAGAAACTGCAACAGAAGTTGGAAATCAGAATTACCAGCATTACTCTATCCTTCACAAAATATGACGATGGAAAAGTGCAAGCAAGTATGATCCAAGGGATGAAATTTTCAGTTTTTAGCTCAATTCTCATTCAATGTATTTATTTTCTCAACGAAAATTTTGTCTGATTAGTCTTATAACTGCATTAATTATTATTGTTTGATTTAGAAAATGAGATTATAAGATATCTCCATCATTCATACAATGGTTTAAGATGCTCAAACCAATTAATTTACGATAATACTGACAAATTAATACTATTACAAAATGGTCTAATTCCCCACCCAACAATCTCTTCCAAAGACTGTGACTTTAGCTGCAGAAGAGAGGAATTATAAATCGGCCCTAGTGCTGAGGAGGCAAAACAAGTTATTATTACTTTGTAACAATTTAGACTGTGCTACATCCTCCATATAAAACTTAAATAAACACAAACACACACTTTTGCTTAGCATACATTGCTTCTTGTAAACAATTACTATTAGTATGAGCACCAACCTGAGCTATCTTAGTTTTCTTCTGTTGGAACTGACAGCTCCTCAGTATTCTTGCTCCTGACCGATCATTGAATTGCTCATGGAATGGATGCAGCAACTGGACATTCTCTCCAAAGCTAACAATTGACAAGAGGATGGAAGTTAGTTAACAAGAATGTTAACAAGGACAGTGTAAACATGCAAGAAAATTGACAACCATGAACACAACTTTGGTGAGACAGCAAATAACATGGTACCAGAATGTGTCAAATAACAGCACTGAAGTCTCTCAAGAAATAGCAAGTATGTTTAAAAAGAAACACCCGACACTCTGTCAAAATCAAGATCAGAACAAACATGAAAATCATAAGACATAATGAAACGGGATAGATTTTTCATGGTAATGGTAGGTTACAAGAAATCTGTAACATTTATAGGTGCATATGCAACATACAAATGTTGGACTTTGGTTTTGAGTTTCCACTAGGCTGTACTGTTATTTTGCATGCAATTCATTTGAAAGTTGGCAAAACATCTGCAAAATATTGGGGATTTCAAGTACAAATCAAGACCTTCAAGTTTTTGTGCCAATTTAAAAGATATTATGCTGGGAAACCAGCCCGACCCACATAATCAAAGATACGAACCAGAGTCAACAATAGGCCACTGCGTCCCAACAGCGTGCTTGGCCAATCAATAAGAACATGGCTGATTTGATTTTAACATTAACTCTATGCTGTTGCATATTCCCGATAATCTTTCACCCCCTTGGTAATCAAGAACCTAGCTAACTCTGGCTTAAAAATATTTAAAGATTTAGCATCCACTGCCTTTCAAGAAGCAAATTCTAAAGACACTCGGACCTCAGGAAAAAAACGTTTCTTCATTTGTTTCAACTGGGTGCCTCCTTATTTTTAAACTATGACCCCCTAGTTTTAGACTCTCCTGCAAGAGGAAACATGCTTTCATCAGCCACCCGGTCAAGTCCCCTCAGGATCTTATATGTTTCAATTAAGTCACCTCTGACTCTTCTAAACTCCAGAAGATATTGGCCTAGTCTGTCCAGCCTTTCCACATAAGGCAACCCGCTCAGTCCAGGTATTCGTCTAATAAACTGTCTCTGAATTGCTTCCATCACAATAAATCCTTCCATAAGTATGGTGACCAGTACTGCAAACAGATGTGGTCTCACCAATACCCTGTACTACTTAAGCATAACTTCCATTCTCTTGCATCGATTATCCTCACAATATAAGATATCATATTAGCTTTCCTGATTACTTGCTGCACCTGCATATGAGCCATCTGTGGCAGATCTCGTTCCAATATATAACCGTCTAGATAATATGTTTCTTTTTTATTCATTCTGCCAAAATGGACAATTGGACTTTTTCATGTTGCACTTCATTTGCCAGATTATCGTGCAGGTTTGCATTAATTGTGTCTGTTTGAGGGACTTTGAAGAGACTCTTAAAATGTATGTTTTTATTTAAAGTGCAATGGCACTAATAGGCATCTTTCCAAAGCACCAATAGATGTCTGCTAAGAAACTGACAACTGCGTACTAATGAAGTGAATAAATTGGTCTGTATTGATATTTTGAGATCATTTTGAGTTATTTAAAATCAGATTACTCAAAAGGTAATGAACAATATATTCAGCTAAAATGATTACTTTAAGTGATAAATCAATTTAGTTGTATTACTAAATAGAGTAAAATTGACAAATATACACTGATTGGAACCAGTGCCAGATGGATCTCATTGACTATGAGATCCATGATTGGCCCAGGTTAACAACTCCAATCAGGGAACCCTAGCTGACAGATATAAACAGGAGATTCAGAGTCTCTTCATTATAGGGACTGGGTCAGAGCTTGTGTCCTGTACACATGTAAACAAAGGGTGACTTGGTGACAGGATATCTGCTTCCTTGGAATTATTTCAAAATACTTCTTAGTGCATGAATAAAGCAATAACAATTCTGAAGTACAATTCAATTGAGATGGTTTACAAACTATATTTTTAATGCAAAGCAATTTGAGCAAGAAACTTGAACCATAAAGTCAATTTTAAAAAATTAACTACTTTGACCACAGTTTGGACTCAGATTTGTACTTGTGTCCAAAGAAGAAACTAAATATCCAAGGCAGAAGCCTACTCAAAAACGTGTTCTAGCGTCCTAGACCATATAAAACACATAGTTCTCTCATTATCATCACCTGTCAGAGATTTAACATAGAGCATTAAGACTTGATTTTTGAGACAAAAGAAAATAATTTACAAGTAATCTGTAACATTAAAATGCTGCAAATGATGCAGGGAGGATGAGCACTGTTACTCTCAGAAGTCATCATACATAAAAACATAATAGACATATCCCTACAATGTAGTATTCAATACACCCTTAACAAGGGGATTAAATCACCACCTTTTACTAGTCCAATTAAAAATGTTGTTATCAACCTGAAAAAAGTCAACTGTCTTTTGAGATGGGGTGTAACCAGTAATTTCTGTTTTTAATGTCTTCAATAAGTTACAAGTACAAATGCCTGTTGACATCAACCACCTTGTTTTCATTTATGCTTACCTACACACGGCAACCTGTCCCACCTCTAGAAGTGACAGTGAATTTCCAATCACAGCCAATGATTCAAAGGCTAGCTACAAGAAATAAAAACAAACACACGAGCATGTTAGGATATTCGTGGAGTTGGTCAAACTAACTTGGCAATTCAAAACTCCAAAATAAATCAAGAAATTGAAGCATTTTACAAAAGCTTGATTCTAATTGTCCCTCGTGGAACCTAACTTTATTTGCAGAGAATCCATTGCATTTGTGTCTATAATGAACGATGGCGGCATTTTTGATCAAGTCAGAATTACAGTTGAACAATAACTTATCCATACAGTTATAAATTTCTTTTCCAGACCTTTATTGGATAGCTATCAGGCATGGAAACACTGGTCAATTTTGCATCTATTTAATCTTGCTACTAACAGCACCACACTTGTGCAACCATAGAGCAGATGAGCTAATACAACACAAATCAAAGATCAAATCTTGACATTTTCCTGGCAGCTTTACTTCAATATCACACCGGTTACTAACCCAGCTATTAGGAGGAACAAACTGCTGATCTACCTTACGTAAATATTATATCATTTTTTTTCTTTGGACAGAATATCCAAAACAGCTGCTTTACTGGACATGGCAGCAGGAATATTTAAATGTATGGAGGCAGTTTCAAAAGGGGCCAAGAAATGTGCTTTAAATTAAGGAAACATGGTATTCCATGTGATAAACAGTGTATATATTATGTATACCATATACACTCAAGTAAAAGTTGACCTCATGTAAAAGTCAACCCTAGTTCATCACAGATAATGGATCAACATTTGAGAGTCAAGGTATTATCCTGTACATAAATGTTATGATGAGGAAATGATCAGTGAGACTGCATAAGAGTCAAATGCCTGACCACTTTTCTTTACCAGAAATAAAGGCTTAAAACGTTAGATTGAAAACTGAAACAACAGTAGACGAGAGAAAACAACGAAAATGGAAAAAAGTTTAAGATGCACCAGGTCAGAGTCAGGCACTCGTGGAATACAGTCATATACCTAGTTGAGGTTTTGAAACTTCTTCATCATTTTGTGTAAAAATGCTCTCCAGAGAAAACAAAAAATATACAGCAGCATTTAAACTGAAAGTCATTGATGATTATGAAGCTTTATTCGGTGCTGAAGATGTCAAACAGTGTGATTTTACAGGATTTTAATGAACTTTTGTAATTGAAATGCTTAAGATATACCACGTAATTGTAATTTAAAGGCGTATTATATTTCTACTTCACTTTTTGTATGTATAAATAAAAGCTTACTAATTCACTTTTGTATCATTGTCTTTATCCAGTAATTACCATAATTCATTGTGTTTTTTTTACTTTATTCACTTAGAGATTAATTGGGCTTTTGCTAATGATATGGTATTTTGGACTGTAGCATGAATTTCAGCCCCTCAAAAGTAGTATCCATATAATAGTCAACCCCATAAATTTAACCTTAAAAATAGTCATAAAAAATCTCAACTTTTACATGAGTATATGCAGTATATTTACAGTCAAATGCTATGGGTGGAAATGAATTTGAAAGAATCTGTACTACTATAGGTCACAGGTCATTAAATTCTCTGAACTCATGAATGTCTGATTCTGTTTGCAATTCTGCAACTTCACATTTAACTTTCTAACAACATACCTGTTTGGAATGATTGTCAACCATACTAGAAGAATCATCAATAGCCAGACAAATCTGATACTGCCGCTTGCTTGGTTTTGTTCTGCGAAGCCAGATTTTATCTTTACGAAATTGGCTGGCAATGTAGGGAATGACCTTTCGCATGTTTAATCGCTTTCCAGTTCGATAATCACCTCTGTGTACAAACATTTGTAAGTGGGGAAAAAGACATAATTATGCCACTTTATTCCTCTCAAAATTTTAATGAACAATAAACGAAATTAAAATAGTACTGACAGATCTCTGTAAAATAAAGGAACTGTTTTATATGACTATTGTTCGACAGATGTCACATACCCAGCTATCCATGATCTTTTATACGTATAAATAACTAGGCTCTGGTGATTTCTATGGAATGAGTTCCATCTATTCTGACATTAATTTAAATCTAGTGCCTAGTCAAGGGACTCAGCAGATGTCAAGCAATAGTAATGTCAGAAAACAAAATAAACAGCATCTTGCATTGAAGAATTCTCTTAGACAGCAAACCAGAAAGAAAAAAAAGCAGACTATGATTTACTTCCTATACATTTTAGAGAACAAGATACAACTGGAGTATATGTAGATACTGTGTAGTGTTTGTAACACGGTCAGCCAGGTGTACCTCACAGAATGAGTTCCCTGATTGGGGCTGTTGATGTAGTCCAATCAATCAGGGAGCCCTGGCTGACAGATAAGAACAAGTGTTCAGACATCCTGTTCACTCAGAGAACTGGCTCTGAGGGAATTGGATCAGTGTCAAGAACTGTCCATGTGTAAATAAAGGGTGACTTGGTTACTGGGGATACTGGCCTCTGTGGAGTTATTTTGAACTGAAATATCAAAAAAAAAAATCACCCAATTTAAAATTTAAAAAATATAAAGTTAGTTCTCCAGTTTCAGCAAAGTTATTCAGAAGTAAATGTAACTTATTATGTCATTAAAACCCCAGTTACACTTCTTTTTTGTAGGGAAGTGTAACTCTTAGGGGATTTTACACAGCATCTTCACAGCACAAAAGTGGAATTTAATCAGTTCAATGACTTAATAAAGATTGCTGTCATCACTGACAGTAACTTCTGAATTTCATGTTTAATTATACATATGAAGATGGCAGAGGTTGCTATTGATTTCACAGGATAATATAGCAAATGCTGACACTTCTGTTGTCATTATAACAGAATTTGGACCAACTGACTGGACAAATCACTTCCTTTAAATCAAGCAAAGGACTTGGTGGCCACCTAGAGAAACTGAATGGATTCTCACTGAGAGGTAATATCAAACTTCAATCTTGGTCCAGATGTTTAACAATGTAATGGGTAACAAAAGACAAATTAAATAGAAGTGAGTAATGTTACTTCAGTTGAATAAATTAGTGGAAAGCACGAATGCTGTACACAAAACAATAGCTCCTTGGGTCTTTTATAAAATGAAATCTCTATTTAACAAATACACAGTGGAAGCTCTATTCTGGAGATTTATCTTAAACACGAAGGGTTAGTCTCTTCGAGTACCTATATCATCATACACTATAATCTATGAGAGAAAGCAGGAATGGGAATCATTTAAAGTTACATTCTGAAACCTTTTAATTTGAGAAATAAAGCATTGTCCTGTAAGAATTAAAGACACTAAATAATAATTATCAGGGTCTACTCCACACTTGCTTTGGTGTTTGAGAAATCCACATCTGCGGTCCACAAAAGATCAGGAGGAGGAAAAGCTAATTACAATTTTAGAACTAATTTTAGATTCTAATTCGATCATCTGTAATCTTAAATTGCTTATCATCAGTTATGTTGATTCCATTATTACCCTGTGACTAAAAACAACCTTGCAATTTCCACATTAACAGAAAACAGTGACGAGTACACTGACCTGAGTTTAGCTGCCTGGGTGGGTTCTAATATAAGCCGAAGCTGTTCACATAGTTGCTGTGACAGGGGAGCTGTCAAGGCCTGGTACTGCTGCCACATCTCAGCAGCAGCTTTCTCCTGATAGTAACAAAAATAAATATGGGAAAAAAGAATCAAGTGTAGTGGGAAAAAAATTCAGCAATTTTGTTCCCAATATTGGCAGGTTATCAGTTCTACAGAATTGGGTTCATATGTGATTGCAGACATGGGAATGTCCTAAGGATCAACAACTCAGTCTTCCATGATATTCCAAACTTTACTGTTAGAATCCAACATTGTAGAACTGGAGGACATTTCAAAAACAAGGGGACTCTTATTCAAGACTGGAATGAGAAGGGTATTTTTTCCCCTCAGAGGTAGTCATGAGTATTGTGCAGGAATGTGGAATTGAGGTCATAGTCTAAATGAATGACAAGAACAGACAGACTGGAGGGATCAAATGGCCTATATTGGCTCCTAATTCACATGATTGTATATCAGAGCATCTATAACAGACATCCCACAAACAATATTTAGAGCTTGAAGATGCAAACTGTAGAACAAACTTCACTTCTGCTACCCATGGTATGCAATGGCACCACAGACTAATAAAAGTGAATTTATAAAAAATTTAAGAACTCAAAACTTTTATGTCTTGTAATTTTGAATTCCTCCAGTTGAGCTGTCATAGAAGAAATCTGCATATTTTGTGGCACAGTGAATGAAAAATCTTTTCAAACAGACAACCAAGTGAAAAATTTTGTTGAACTAATTTATTCTGAACAGTACCATTTACATCTCTCTCCCTACCCTTCCTCTTAAGTGGAGCATTTCAATTTAGTATAGCACCAAATGACCAGCAACCTCCCAAAATTCCCTCTGAGTGGCCAACCTACCCACCAATAGATTCAGGTATGCTTATTGTGATGCAAGTTGTGTGGTTTGTACGTATTTTAATATCAATTATTTTAGAGCTTGGATCTTAAACTAATGGCGTGTGAATTTTAGGGTTTAATGATCGACTTGCAGGCTTTCTGAAGTGGTAATGGGAATTTCTTGGCAGTGGGAGTGTTTCATGAGCAGACAAAGTACACATCGAAAAGCATCACAGTGTGGAGATTGCTTTCAGATAGAAGAATCAAAAATTCATTTTGCTTTGGTGCAAAATTAATAAGCTTGGAAAGTTCCAGGCCCCTCAGAGTTTGCAGAAGTTCTGGTTGAAGTTGGATGTATAAAAGAGTTTCTCCCAGAGAAAGGAGAAAGTTCAAAAAAGTTATGAAATTAGTTACCTCAATGTAAGGGTTTTAGTTTGAAAGTTCCAGATCAGAAGTGTGTGGGTAGAATAGATTATTTGAAGTTAAGAAAATTTAAGCTCAGTTGTGTGACTAATCAAGTAAAACGTTATTAATCTCTCAAAACTGGGAACTGAAAGAAACAAACAGTTACATCTAAAGTACAGATATTATAGAGAAGGTAATGAATTTTCTCCAATATTTGAGTACTATAAAGTGGTGATATTTGGATAGATTGTATTGTATTTTACCATGCTTTATGTAAATGATTTTAATCTGAGATCTGACTTGTCCACTAGTAACATCAGCTAGGATCAGAGCAACGTCAATGGTGATCACGATTACTGGGCTCTATGCTGTTTGGAGCTATTCAACATGAATCAGTGGAAAATGTTAGGCCACACAGTAGGAAGGATGTGGAGGCTTTTCAGAGGATGCAAAAGAGGTTTGTCAGGATTTTGCCTGGATTAGAATGTATTAACTAAAAGGAGAGTTCAGACAAACTTGGACTGATTTGCTAGAGCATTGGAGGCTGAAGGGTGACCTGAAAGAATTATCTGAGAGGCATGGACAGGGTGGACAGTTGGACTATTTTTCCCAGGGTGGAAATATTAAATACTAGAGGGCATTGTTTCAAATAAGAGAGGGAAGGTTTAACGGAAGTGTGTGAGGCAAGTTTTTCCTTTTAAAACATAAGGGTGTTAAGTGCCTGGAACACATTGCCGGGGCAGTGGTAGAAGCAGATAGAATAGCAATGTTTAAGAGGCATTTCGGCGGACATGTGAACAGGCAGGGAGCAGAGGGATACAGATCATGTGCAGGCAAATGGGATCAGTTTAGAATGACATCATGGTCGGCACAGATATGGTGGGCCAAAGGACCTGTTCCTGTGCTGTACTGTTCCTTGTTTTAAGAGCCTACCCTATTTACCTCTCTGTGCCCAAGCTAGCTTAAGCATCCTCTCTAAAAATTGTTTCCGCAAGGAGCTAACTTGGTAGAGAGGGGCTCACATCTAGGACCTAATTATCCACGAGTGGTTGGATGGGGGTTATTGAAGTTAAAGCAGTTACATTACCCTTCAGCTTTCACCAATCTTGAGTTTCAACAACATAACAGTGCTCAATATTTCTATATTTCTTGAAACTTTTCTTGATTGGATTAATTTATTCAGATAATAATTGACCAAAATACATTGGAAGACTGTATTACAGCAGCATACCATGAAAGATGCACTACAGGATCACTGGGAATTCTCAATACACACCTACCTCCCAAATGCTCAGGCAGTTTATGTTTCCAGTGAGTGATTACCTTGTATCTGGAACCCTCTGAGAATGTGCTCCAACTTCTGTGCAACTATACAACTGACATCCTGACTCACTATTGACGACCCGACCTAAAATCCAGCCGTCTCTAGCCGACCCAAAATGACAATCCTGAGCTACCCTAAACCCTCACCCACTCACCTTGCATACTTAAAAGCCTCTCCTTATCTTGCCCAAGTGTCTTATGCCCTTTAAACTCCAGAATACAACAGCTACTACAGTAAAAGGGGGAGGGGGGGGACAGGATTGGCCTCTGGCAGTGATCTTCTGCTGTGTTAGAAAGCTCCCTGAACAAGTATGCTGTGCACTTCTTCAGAGGCCCAAATCAGAAGGTTGGGCCCGAAAAATGGAGATCTAGGAAAGTGGAGGAGAAAAGGAGCAGAGTGGCAATCAGACTGTGATTGTCAGTTGTTGGAACATTTGGCTCATTTGAACACAATAGTGCGTAGAACATGCTAAAAGGGCTGTGATTCGATTTCACTTCCCATCAGTCTTAACATGCTTTAAAAGGGAGAGGAAAAAAAAAGAAATCTGGGGCACATGTCCACAACACATTTTCAAAATGTGCCGTTTTACTGATTAAGAATTTAAAAATGAATCTGCCTTCGGTCTTTAAAATAAAAATCTTCTCCTCCCTTTATTAGACAATTCCTTAATTTTCGTCCTTTGCTTACCTCTTCTGGACTTCCAGACTTCTCATTTCGCCAAGCATCCAGCTGCTCTTCCAGCTGCTTACGTAGTTGTGCTGGGTCAGGAACAACTCTCTGGAAAACAAACTGTGTCCCTTAACTAGAAAATGGTAGAACACAAAGGCATAGCCAAACATACTGGTAGTGATTCATTCGCTACCTGCACCGGATTGCAACCGTGAATTCTCCTTGGTGGTAAAGTGTAAATGTTAAGACCTTATTTGGATTGAACAAGAATGTGTAGGCAAAGGAGTATGCAGGGTTCTCTTCTATTTCCAGAGTCCATTAACTAGTTTGTGGTATACTGCTGTTTTGTAAAATGTGAATATATTTATCTCAGTGACAACTAAATACAGACCATGTGTCACACCATCATTTCCCCACATCTTTTTGATCCCTCTGCGTGCTCACCATTTGCCAATGGGTTCACAAAAAGCAGCTGCAATGAGGTTGATGCCTAATCCAATACCCAAAACCACCTGAATTTCCCTCATGCCAAGGCCATCAATTTCTCAAAGGCTCAGTTTGGTTTAGGAACTCATGGTTGAAAACTATCACTTCAGATTTTTCTCCACATCTTATAGATCAATAATGTACTATGATCCCTTTTCTTCCTAAAGTAATTTATTTAGCAGTATAACATTAAAGTAGCAGCCTGTGCTTTATGCTTATTTGCCATACAATCCAAAACCATGCTCCATCAAATGACCATTATTCAAAAATCTTCTTTTTCAGCTTTATGTTTACGGAATGGAAAGGTGCTAAACTTTTATAAAAATAAAAGCAAAGTACTGTGGATGCTGGAAATGTGAAATGAAAACAAAGTGCTGGAGAAACTCAGCAGGTCTGGCAGTCTCTGCGAAGAGGGAAACCGAGTTAAGCTTAAAGTCCAATGAAAGAAGAAGTATAAAATAATACACAAATATAAAAATATTTGCTTTCCCTGCCGCTTTTGCAACAGCACCAAAATCATTTTCTAGCCCCCTTCATATATGAACCATTACTGCACTTGATATGCTAATTCTGTTTCTCTCTCCACAGACGCTGGTAAACCTGCTGAGTTTCTCCAGCACTTTCTGCTTTTATCTGTAAACTTTCATACTTTTTCAAAGTCCTCAGTTAGCAGATCATGCTTGGTGTGAATGGTAGACTCTCTGCTCCTTTCAGGAATCTCTTCATTTTCTGATTCCGAGTCATCTCTTGCAGCATCCACCTCTTCAGGTTTGGGAAGCTGAAACTCTCCTTCAAGATTGCTGTCGGATCCTGCAAACATACCAGATAGGTTTCAACTGACTTAAAAGTTTAAACTAGATCTTAAAAGCCTTAGATTTTCACAGTTCTTGACAGCCAAAAATAATTTGCAGCCAATGAAGTGGTTTTCAAGAGGAGTTAACAATGTAAAAAAAACCCAATAGCCATTTTGCACACAAACTCATAACAATAAGGCAACACATAAATTAATACGGAACATAGGAACAGGAGTAGGCAGTGCAGCCCCTTAAGCCTGTTTTGCCAACGAGACCAAGGCTGATCTATGGCCTAACTCGATATACCTGCCTTTGGTCCATATGCCTTAATACCTTGCTTAACAAAAATGTATCTATCTCAGGTTCAAAACTAACAACTGATCCAGCATCCACTGCAATTTGTGGAAGAGTTCCAAATATCTACCATCCTTTGTGTGTCGAATTGCTTCTTAACATCTCTCCTGAACAATCTGTCCCTGATTCTCAGACCATGCCTCCTAGTTCTAGAAACCCCAACCAGTGGAATTAGTTTATCTTTATCTTCCCTGTTTTTTCCTGTTAATATCTTGGAGACTTCGATCAGATTACACCTTAACTTATTAAATTCTAGAGAAGACAGGCCAAATTTGTGTAATCTCTCCTCATAACTTAACCCCTGAAGTCCAGGTATGATTCTTGTAAACCTATGTTGTACTTCCTCCAAGAACAATATTTTCTTTCTAAAGTGTGGTGCCCAGATCTGCTCCCAGTACTCCAAATGAGGTCTAACTAGGGTTGTGTATAACTGCAATATCACTTATGGATCCTTATGTTCCAGTCCTCTAGTTATAAAGGCCAACATTACATTAGCCTTCTCAATTATTTTTGTACCGTTTATATTTTTAAAGATCTATGGACTTGTATCCCCAAGTCTTGCTAGACATCCACCGAATTTAATGGTCAACGATTATTGAATATTTAACTTCTTTTTCTATTGATGAAATTGACTCATGTTCTGCACATTGGATTTCATACAAAAATGAGATTTTAGGAGGAGATTATTGGACAACACCAAAATTGGGCCAGCCAAGTTAGCAACTAACAATGCTCTAAATCCCCAGTTGTCATAATCACTAGTTATAGTTTTAAAAAAAAGCAAATTCATAGTTTCAGTGCAACAATGTCATAGTAACGAATGGAATTAATAGCAGAAATAGGCTATTTGGCCCCTCAAACTTGCTCCACCGTTCAACCAACACAAATGTATTTCCATTGTGACTTAAAAGAGGCGAGCAAAGCTGCACGCAGTATTTGGGATGTACTCTCACCAATGCCTGTGTAATGCAGTGTAACATTCTTTTGTATTTGATTCTTTTTGTAACAAAAGGTAGCATTCCATTAGCTGCCTTAATTACTCGCTGTGACTGCATACTAACTTTATGTCACTCATGCACTGGAACACCTAGAACCCTGTGCACCTCAGAATTCTTCAGTTGTTCTGCTTTTGAGTAGTTCTCTGCTTAAAGAGAACAACTTCACATTTTCCCACTCTGTACTCCATCTGCCAGATTTCTGCCCACTCATTTAACTTATCTATAATCATCTTGTATCTCCTAATAGACTCTTCACAACATACTCTCCTACCTAGCTACGTCATGGTTCATGATTTTCAGTGCATCAGGTCATATCTTGAAATTTGGATGCTGGCTTGTTAGTTTGCATTAAAAGTAAAATAAAATTTGAAATTACAGTGTACAGGCATTCCCCGGGTTGCAAATGGGTTTGGTTCTACAGATCATTTGCAAGTCAGACTGCAATTCAGGACAATGGAAAGCAGCCATTCATAAGTACAGGAAATGTTTATATGTTGGCCCTTTAAATTTTAAACCATGTATGGGATCGGTTTCTAAGTACAAGCATTTGTAAGTTAGATGTTCATAAGTCAGGGACCCCTTGTATACTATAGTTGTGTGTCTAACTACCTGGCGCATTTATAGATGAGAACTTTTTCTCTGGCTTCAGCTCTTGTACATCCACACTTTGCAATTCCTCTTCCTGATCAGTTTCCATTTCAACAGATTCAGTCTCTTCTTTGATCTCCTTTTCCTGTTGTGATCCACTTGGATTTTGTTGCTCTGCTGTGGCTACATCTAAAATGAGCAATTTGTAAGATTAGAATAAGGTGATACATTGTCTCAATCACAAAATGTATTCAAGAGAAAGATGTACATGGAGTCAAAGATTCTCTTTCACTGGTTTCTGAATTTGAATAATTCTGAACTCACCAAATGTTTGAGCATCAAAGGATTCACCGCCTTCTTTGATATGTTCATAAACATCTGCCTCCATCACTTTTTGTTCTGACTGGGCCACGTCCTGTTGGGCCGCAATATTGGCTTCCACCATCTTCAGTCGCTTGCTCACACGTTCATTGTGATCACCCACTGTTCTTTCGGCATCTGTATGACCGGGTTTCCTTTTGTAACTCTTCAGAAAGAGCACAGTTTTAGTTTATTAGAAAGATAACTTGTGTTTCTTACATTGTAAAACATTGTGCAACAAAATTTATCTGGATGCTACTTAATCCAATGGACATGAGGACATATAGGGGAGGGGGTTACTTTAGACACGTATCCAAAGCACAAGGACCACATTTATTCTTTGGATGTAGATTAACAAACGGGAAAAGATTCTGCTTTAAACTAAAGCACTGTGGAAGACGATGTTGCGGATTTAAAACAATGACTTATTGAAATTCACTGTGGGATTATCTACAATGGTACCTTCAAGTAGTGGGGAAGGATGCTAAACATCTCAGATTTGTGTTTGTTTGTTCAAGGGTGCTTTGCCAATTGACAGATTTTTGATTTTTTTTCAACCAGAACCAATTGTGTTGTGTTCAGGAGTGTTCAGCATACTAACAACATTTTGATTGATTCCTGGGTGATTGGCTAGTGTTGTGTCAAGACAGTACAGCAGAAACATCCAGCTTGTAAAATCTCTCCCTTCTGTAAGTGGAGAAAGCTACTGTCTCTCTGCAAAGTCCCCTCTTCAAAGGCAAAGGGGAAAAACCACCTTCAGAGACACTGACATTGAATGAAAGATTCAGAAATTGAGTGTCCACAACCTCACATCCCCAAAGAGTAGAAAGGAATTGGAAGGGACTGAAGGCAATCAATTCATCATTGCCTGTAATCCAGAATGGTGCCAGAACTGTGCTTCACTAACTTTTTTGTTCCTTCCTGCCCATAATGTGTGTGTCTTGCCTGGTCTCTGTGAACTGTTTGCATATGTATGCGAATGTCTTAGAGACCCCTTCCAGAGCTCAACAGAGTGCTGTGTAATTCATTAGTGCAGTCCCAGAGTCCACTATTGCATATGGAAAAATTCAACAGATTTAATTTCCTGCAGTAGGACAACTTGCGTTGTAGCCTGTTAGACCTTCTCCTGCACTATTCAAACAAAAAGAATGGAGAACGGTTTTTCCCACAGGTTACTGCAAGCTAGTAGCGGCAAAGGAAAGGCACTAGGGCATCTGGAGCTTGATGAACAGTATCTAGAATGTATCTTCTGAACCAATGACATGAGAAAATCTGAGAAGTAAATAGAGAAATGACTGGGGATGAGGGGAAAATTCAATGCGCACTCAGGTACTGAAATAACAAGGAGGGAAAAAATATGTTTGGGCTGACAGAAAAGAAACAAACAAGGAATTTAAAAAAAAAAAAAAAAAATCACCATTTTTAAACTCAACAATTTGCTAGAGAAGGGATAAGACTCCACATTTCACCTGGTGCTCACTTTCTGGGCAGAGGGTGGGTGATTGACAGTTACTAACATTTATCAAGCCATTAATGGCACTTGCACTATTTAAACTTATCCCAGATCCAAGTCTTAATGAGCCATTGAAGTGCAAAAGTATGGTAACTTCATGAAACTGAGGGAGAAGTCAAAATCAAGATGACATTTTCAGAAGCTAACAGTGATACAAATTGTCTGGAAACTTGTGACAATCAATTGCTGGCATCTCTCTTCCATGCCATGGGTTCCTGGCTGATTTGGGCATTAAATGGCAGTGTCATTTGGATGACATAGTATTTTTGTAAATTTTCAGTCAATGCCTGTAGTATTTCATTGAAATAGGTCCTGCTATTACCCCAAAATAGTTTGGCAAAACGTAGAAGAACATCAAAAAAAGATTAAGCACAGTGGTGGAACAGTGAAACTGCAGATTGAAAAAAAACATTGGAAATCACAGGTCAGACAGCATCCATGGAGAGAGAACAAGCTAACATTTCGAGTCGAGATGATTCTTCATCAGAGCTGATGAAGAGTCATCTAGACTTGAAACATTAGCTCGCTCTCTCTCCATGGATGCTGCCTGACCTGTTGTGATTTCCAGCATGTTTTGTTTTCAGTACAGATACCAATATCTGAGTATTTTGCTCCTACATTGTGAAAATGAAGACTTGTTTTTGAACAAACCTAAAAAATTTATGGTTAACATGCAAACTTCATAGCCGATTAATAAGTACTAAATTGCATTTATAGTTGGAACAAAAACAGAAGTTGCTGGAAAAGCTCAGCAGGTCTGGCTGCACCTGTGAAAAAACAATCAGAGTTAATGTTTCGGGTCTGGTGACCCTTCCTCAGCATCCGCAGTTTTTATTTTGCATTTATAGTTGCTTGGTTAGAGATAACAGGCAATCAAAATAAGTGCTCAAAGCTCCTGCTGTAATTGAAAACATACAGAAGTAAAGCTACAAAAACATACAACTACATAACATAAAAAAGTAAGCATAAAAGTACAACATCTACATGTTTGTCAAAACAAAATGTTTCCCATCAGTGGAACTGTGGTTTTTACCTGCGTTTTGTCCAGGGATTGTTTTTGAGATGCAACCCTCGCCATCAGTTTGGACTCGTGACCCTCGGACTGGTTCGCATCTGCAGCCCCGCTTCCTTGTTCCTGCAAAATCCAACATAAAATAAATTGTGGGCTGGATATCAGAACCACAACCATTGCTGTATGGGACAGTGTTTTTATTGGGAGAGGTATATTTTATGGTTTTAGATCAGGTTAGTTTCATCAGTAAAATACACCTCTCCCAATAGACAACTCAACATTCTGAGATTTATGATTTTATTTCCATGAAGTTTCTCAATTTCTTGTCCAAATCTTTTAGCGTGCTGAGAGATAATTTAAAATAATGATCGAAACTCAGAAGAATAAGCATTGGAAACAGACTAGTCACAATAAAGCCGAGGCAGGAGGAAGCACCTGGCTTTCATCCTCTAAATTAAATTTAAGGATAATACTACTTCCTTAGAAAGTTCGATAACTCCATTAACAGAGTAATTACTTGCCAAAAAGCATGTTGCAATTAATGGCATTAGATGATATTTTAACAGCGTTAACATTCACTTACTTATCACTTCTCATCAGGGCACAATTTTTCTTTATCCCCCACATAAACCTTGATTCTCTTACTGGTTGAAAAATCAGTCTGTCTCGGCCTTGAATATTCTTAACAACCCAGCCTTTACAACCTCCATAGAAAACAATTTAACAGGTTCACTCTCTTCTGAAAATAACTACCCTCCTCATCTGTCATAACTAGGTAACTTCTTGGAGATTAACGTCTGCTTCAAGAGTCTGCCATAAGGGGAAATATCCTTTCTGCATCTACCTTGTCAAATCCCCAAGAATCTTGAATGTTTCAGTAAGGTAGTCTCTCACTCTTCCATGTTCCATCGAGTACAGGCGTGATCTACTCAACCTTCCCTCACAAACTAGCTCCTCCATAGCTGGGACCAAGCTAGTGAAATTTCACTGGACTGCTTCCATTGCCAATATATCGTCCTGAAGATAAAGGGGACTTAGACAGTTCACAGTATTCCAGGTGTGGTCTAATTAGTGCCTTGTAAAGTTTTAGCAAGACGTCCCTATTTTAATATTCCATTCTCTTTGGAATAAAGGCCTATATTCCATTTTTCTGATAGCATTTTGTGATTTATGCACGAGGATCCCCAAATCCCTCTGTGCTGCAGCTTTCTCCAATTAAATAATATTCAGATCCTCTATTCTTTCTACCACAGTGCACACCCTTATATTCTTGTTACTTTCCATGCACCATTTTTTTATCCCCTCACTTGTATCTCTTCATAGGCTTATTTTGCTATCCTCACCATTTGTCTTTCCACCTATTTTCGTGCATTCTATAAACTTGGCAATGGTATGTTCACTCCCTTCATCCACGTCATTAATAATGTAATGTGCATAATTCTGGTCCCAGCACTGATCCACATTGCACACCACGAGTCACAGGTTGCTATCCTTATCCCAATTCTTCCATTAGTTAATCAATCCTCTAACGATGCTAATAAACCACCTTTAACACCATAGGCTCTTATTTTAAGTAGCCTTTTGTGCAGTACCTTATCAAACACCTTTCTGAAATCCAGACATATCACTTACACTGGTTACCCTTTATCTATCCTGCTTGTTACCTCCTCAAAAGAATTACTAATTGCCAATGCACCATCTGAGTTTTCTTCCTGGCAAGCTAGTCACCTGTTGGGCCATGGCCCGTGTACATGAATTAACCTTCTTTAGGCACAGACAAAACAGAGGATGAGGATTGATAATGAAGTGAAGTAGGTTTCTCAATTAGGGCAGTTCAGCTTAAAAATGCCCATCATAAAAGTGTAGATGGGAAAGATTCTATTTAATAAATTAAAGAGGACACAAAGACTTTTGGAAGTTTGAGAATGCGTGTTTTTTACTTGCATTGACAAAGATGCATATAGCATTTCACTCATTCCTTGACTAAATAATCTAATTGTACCTCCTCAGCTTTGTCCTTCTCTGATGCAGATCCAGCTAATTCCACGGCTGTATCACTCTGAAGGTTCTCCTCACCGGTCTTCCCTTCAGCCTCATGCTCTATTCGTTGCTCAGTCTGAGGAACACCCTGGTCATCTTGTGTGTCCTCATCCACCTGAAATCAAAATCATGGTGATAATATGGAACCTAACTTCCAACGTGATGAGAACAAGTAATTTTACAAAATAGTGAGGCGGTCTCAAAGAAAAAACATTAATTACTAGAAGATTAATTCATATATTTTCAACTATGTTCAGCTGCATTGTGGGACAGACCAAGAACAGACCAATACCACATCAATCAGTGGTTTCACAGTGCAATGTATTACTCACACAAAACCAGCTGCAGCACAAGGCCAGGCACAGCATCTACTACATCTTCAAATCAGGCATTACTTAATGAAACATCAGCATGGAGCTTTGTGCATGCCAAACATGTAATAGCTAGGGCTGATTAATGCCACAACTAATAGACCAAAGATCCTGTTGACAATGGTTGTTTGAGAATCAGGTCACTGATATGGAGGAGCATGTTGCATGAATACTGCCCTGGAGAATTAACATTGACTTTTGCATCCTGAACTGAGGCTCAAGACCTAGAACCTTCTGGCACAGGAGTGTGTGATACATGAGCCACGACTTTCCATTTCTCCCTACACTGCTAAATAAGCAAAGAAAAGAGTGAAATGACATACTTTTGGCTGTTGCCCCTCATTGCAGAGAGCTTCTTGGTCTTTCTTGGCAGGTGCTCTCTGGTCATCTTCTTCTGGCTTCTGTTGGTCTATGTCCTCAGCATCACCTTCTTCCCCATTATCCTGATCTTCCCCAATATCTTCTTCCTTGCCCTCCCTCTGTTCGTCGGCTTTCCCCTCATTTTCCTTATCCATTTGAGGATCTTGTTCTTGTTCTTGCTCAGCATGCTCCTCTTCTGTCTCAGCAGTCTCCTCCATTGTCTCATTAGCATCTGGACTTTTCTCTTGGAAATCTCTTAGTTTTTCCTCTATATCAAAGGGATTATCTCCTTTAAAGATGTATAAAAAGGGTTAGTGAAAATTAGACACACAGAACCTGCAATTTTGCAAATAGATAAATATTAGGACAGTAGCCTTTAAAATTGGTGTAAGCAGGAGAGAAAAACCATGGATTAAACAATAGAAGAACAGACCAAATACAAAATTTATGATTCTTCCAAGAAGTTTAAGTCTTAAAACCGGTTTTCTTCAATACGAAGGCTACAGGTTAGCATCAAGTGGAACAGCAAGTAGATTTCCTAGATCTTTTCAATGGATGAGGAATGAGTGTGAAGATACAGAAGTTTTTATGATGTGGGTTCACTATCAAGAGTTCGTATGGAGCTAGGTGCCTTTTAACTGGAAAACAAAAAATACCCCAAATTCTTGTTCTTGATCACTGTTCAGGTGATCCCAGTTGGAAGACAGCATGCAGCTAAACATTGACATTGATTGGCAAGAGTAGAATTATACCCATTAATTGGCATATGAATTATTCATCGCACCCCAGCAAGGAGTCAATGTCTTGAGAAAAGAGAAAGACATGCTGCTCTGCATCACCTGGAATTGAATTTATTCACTAAGCTACCAGAAGGCAAGATAAAGGGTGTCACAATCTATTACTGTAACCTACTAATCTAGAAATTCTTTGCACAGATTACAAAGAAGTGTACAGCCAACTTACCTCCTTCTTCCTGATCCTCATCACTTTTTTCTCCATCTTCGCTTTCCAAATTGAGGTCTTCAGGCAAGTCTAAGGCCTCTGTCTCTGGCTGTTTATCCTGATTGCCTTGGTAAGGATCTACTTCATTTTCATCATATTCACGCTAATGTAAAGAATAGATTAGTAAACTCCTGTCAGACTAGCATGTCAAATTTGTCATGTCACCAATAAAATCACTGGTGCAGGCACATGTTTATTCTGCATGGACTACATCAATGTGACAATATCCAAGTGAGATAATGTAACATTATAGTGACTTGTATCTTCCATTTTGTGAAGAATGTTTTATGCGAACATATTGCACTACTAATGAGATCCATATTGTTATCTAGATGATCAATACTTTTTAAAAGTAAAAATTTTATTTCTGTGATGTCTGATGACTTACTTTTTGTCTTTGGAAAAAGAATTTCACCCTGCATTTGGACTATAGGTGGGCCCCGATTTAAGGAAGTTCAACTTACCAATGTTCGTACTTACAAACGTGATCCTATATTAACAATCAATCTGGCATGTTCACCTGTACTTACAAACAGCTATTTTATATTGTATTTTGATTTGGATTGCAAATCAACTTAAAACGTACTCAGGAGCTGAACCCATTCATAACCTGGGGACGGTCTGTAGTTCCACTTCACACAATAATGCAAACTTTAAACGAAAATAAGGTGTTTGTATTCAGGTTTTGTCTGTTCCTTGCCCAATAACTCAGAATCTCCCACAATTTGAAGGACTTCAGAAGTGAACTTGGGGCTTTGCCAGTCACTGGTCTAGCCGGCTCATAAATCAAACATTTTGGTCCTTGTGCTCATATCCATAGTGGAGACGTTTTGGGAAAATAGACATTAATACCTCATCCAATTGCTCATGAATTTTCTCTCTGCCTTCTTCTTCCCCTCTCTCCTCCTCCTTCTCTTGCTCCTCCTGTCTCTTTTTGTCATTCTCACTTTCATTTGCTACATCCATGTTGTCATCTTTAGCAACGAGTTCAGACTTCTCCTGTGGATAGAAAACCAGTTGAAGCATACGTTACTAAGACAACTTCCAGATGGAACCGATCAACTAACCCAAGTGAAGAGCTCCTCCAAAAAAAAACAGAGGTGGGCAGTAGGGGAATATGAAGAGCCAGTGTTTGAAGCTATGCATCTTTTAAATTATCCAATTCATGATACTTGTGTAAATGGTAAAAAAAAAGTGACTGTTAATTGATGACATCACAAGACAAAGAGACCAGTGTCATCATTCCACATGCAAAGGAAACATTTGGAAGTGCAGCCAATTCTGTTTTCTGCTAAAATCTTTCCTGCAAGAATTGATTATTCAGTAATATAGAATACAGATGGGGTCAGAGTTTGTACTTATAACTTGTGGCTGCTTCATAAGTCAACATTTTCAGGAATAGCAAGACATTCCCTGTCATTTCTTCGGTTCAGAAAAAGGAATAGAACAAAGGTAAATCAAGGAGTTAAGAACAAGGAAGATAATTATCACCAATTATCTTTTTCACCCCAAATCCTGGTATGGTAAAAGGAAAATGAAACAAAGAGAAAAGTCTACATGTTAAGTGTTCAGTGAGCATTTGTCTTCAGTACAAATGGAAACAAAGATGACTGAACTATTCATTGTTGCAATCTCAACTGCTTTCACAATGAATAAATGTATTTAGAACTGAAGTTACTTAATTAAAAGTGAACTTCACAGATTTTTTTAAAACGTTCAGCGTCCTACCACATCCATCCCAGGGCCAGTATCTTCAGCCTCATCATGAACACTATCTTCATCATCATCATCATCCCCCCATAATCTTTCATCTAGTTTGTCAGCCTCCGCATTTTCGAGATCACCCATCTGTTTATCCAGTTCTTCCTCATCACTATCCGATTCCTCATCGTTGTCATCCTCTCCTGTAGAGACAATTCAGCCAATTAAATACAAGACAATAAACATAAGACCATAAGAAATAGGAACAGGAGTAGGTTGTTCTGCCCTTCGAGCCTGCTCTGCCATTCAATAGGATAATGGTTGATCCAAAATTCCTCACAGATTTACTGACCCTGGATTCCCCTACTGATCAAGAACCCACCTCAGCCTTAAATATACATAAGGACTCTGTCCCCGCAGCTCTCTGTGGCAAGACGTTCCAAAGACTCTCAACTTTCCAAAGAAATATCTCCTCATCAGAGAATTAAATTGCCCTTAATTCTGAGACTATGCCCTCTGGTTCCAGACTCTTCCATGAGGGGAAACATCCTGTCAGCATTTACCCAATCAAGCCCCTTAAGAATCCTATATGTTTCAAAGAGATCGTCTATCATTTTTCTAAACTCCAGGAGTAGAATCTCAACCTACTTAACCTTCCTCATTCGACAATCCCTCCATACCGGGGATCATCCTAGTGAACCTTTCAATGAACTGCCTCCAACGGAATTTCTTTCCTTTAATAAGGGGACCAAAATTACTCACAGTACTCTAGATGTGGTCTCATCAATATCTTGTATAGTTGCAGTAAGACTTCTCCACTCTGATACTCCAATCCCCTTGAAATATGGGTCAACATTCCATTAGCCTTACTGACTACCTGCTGCACCTGTGTGCTGGCTTTCTGTGTTTCATGCACAAGTCCCCCCACATCCCTCTGTAACTGGTTGGATGTCATTTGAGAACAAGATAGAACATGGTGGTGGCTACATTAGTTTGTCTCCTGAATCATAGTGATATAATAAAATGGAGACCATTTGGCCCATTACGATTGCAGTGGTTCTCCAAACATTTTAACTCATGCCAATCTCCTATCTTTTCCCCATAATCCTGCACATTATTTAAACAGGTTTACTCGTCCAATCTTTCTTGAATGCCTCAGTTGGATCTGCCTCCACCACACTTCCAGGCAATGTGTTCCATAAACTAATTATTTACTATTAATTAGACCATTCAAAAGAAAAGCAGCTTGTATTCTGATGAATTTAACTTCCTTCTACCATCAAACAGGAACCTATACCCCATGTAGAACATTTAGCAATATTTTTTGGTAAAAATCAGATTTTCTGAAAGATTACGGATGATATTCAAACTTTGTTTTGCACAACAGACACCATGTCACAAATCTCGAGATTAGAGCCACTTCTGAGTTCAGATTTCACCTTCAATTGGCCATCAACAGTAGCCATCCACAACACCATAATTCCATCATGAACTTGATGGTGTTTACAATTAATACATTATTTGCAGTGAACAGATAGAGTCAACATACAACTGGAATAGTTAAGATGCCATAAATTATAAATCCAACAGTTTTACAGAACAGTCAGTTTATCTAATTCGAGCAATGAAACTATTTATTCACAGCACTGTCAAACCTCATGCAAGAAAGATGACAATATAAAACTAGCAAGTTCTCAGGATGCCAAAATCAAACTCCAGCCAGCTTGGTTCCGAACATTTAAAAAAAAGTTCGAGTTACTTTATTGCCTCTTTCCATGTTAGCTTAATAGCAGCAAATGAGATGGGCTCTGTGGCATATGAGGCCACTTTACTGCTGCTGCAATTACAACATTTTATCACACATCAAATGGAATTAGTGCAGAGATCGCTATTTAAAATTAGTAATGTGCACTTTCATGAACATTTCTATTACATTTAAAACTGGAAATGTTAACGGAAAATCACTGCACTGAGAAGTCAAATCTCGACAGTTGCTGCCAGACCTGCTCAGAATTTCCAACATTTTGTTCTCATGTTGGATTTCTAGCGTCTGCAGTTTTTTTTTTTTTTAAAACTGATTAAACAGTGCGTACCTTGAGTTGTCATTCAGCAACTTACCTGGCTCTTTGGTATCTCCATCGTGAAGTTTTCCTTGGAAGTCCTCAGTCATTTCTATGGCATTCTCTTCCTCTTTAATATCAGCCATATTCTCTGTGTCTTCTTGCTTTTTTTGGTCTTTGCAGAAGGTATCTTCCACCTAAAGAAAGGACAAACACATGCATTTTGCTGAGGAATATGAACAGAAGGCATCGAAAAGGAAGACAATAGGACACACAGTACCACAACTTTGCTATTACAGAGATCTCCAATTCTTAAACATTTTCCTCCAACCTTTTCTACCCATGAAGCACCTAACTCGTACCCAACTGTGTCCCAAAAATAATTAAATTTTAAAAAACCCTGATCTCCACAATTAACTTCCACAAAGTTATTAAGTAAGTCGAACTGCTTAGAGAGTCCCCCAAAAGGCATCCACTCTTTAGCAGTGGTCCAGGGAAGTTGAATATTGTCCAGTTTTCTTGAATTGACAAAACTGCAGCCAAACTCAACACCCACCCTCTGCCCAGGACTTTCCAGCAGGATATCACTGGATGGTAAATCACAAGTACAACAACTGGCTGGTTTTCATGTCCTTTGCTCTTTACTTATTTCTGATGTAGTCAATATAAATGAAGAGTATTTCAGGGATCAGAAAGTGAACCTAGAATTTTCTTATCTCACTGAATTATACATTGCTTATTTCAATTGCATCATGGGGATCTCTCACCATCCTCTTCAAACTAGTAACACAAACAATAACAGTGACAACTGAGAAGATGCAGTTGAATGACAAACATATTGCAGTACAAGTACGATGTTGAACGAGCTCACAGAGTGTAGACATTTCATGTTGAGTTTGTAGCATGCTATCAGTTGTTGTGTAGCACCTGCAACTGCACAAGTGCAAAAGCTCAACATGGATTTTAAGTAAAAGGCAGTGGTAATTTTTCCTTTTATAAAACATTGATTAGCTGCTTATTAAAAAGTGGGGCCCTCTGAAAGTAGCAGAAGCAACTAGTGCAAGATTAGAAAGGAGGACATCCAGTACTTCCCAGTCACAATAATGGTTATTTAATTCTTAAATCAGATCCTGAACTACCATTCCCAAGCCCTACAGTGCTTCAGTTTACAATCAGCATAACCAGTAACAATTGTGTCCAAATAAATTTCTTCTCAAGCATTTTCTTCTCTGATCATTTTTCTACAATTGTAACCTCACTTACATAGAATGCCTATTTCTATGAAACCTTAATGTTTTATGTTAAGATGTTGAAAAAACACATACCTGGTCTTCATTTTCAATCCTGTCGCTGACATCCTTCACACCTTCACCTTCTCCAATTCCTCCACTCTCATTATCATGGAATTGGGTTGAACCTTCGCCCATCGCATCCTCCATTAACTCTTCGGGGAGGCAGAATCCCTGCCAAGTAATACCACACTTCATCATATCCTCACCCGAGATTTTTAAAATATTCCTTAAGAGTAAAGTTTAGTCTTGGTCCCTTTCTCTAACCACACCATAAAACAACTGCAAAATGTAATGACATTTTGAGAATAAAATCCCAATTTTGTAATAAACAAAAGTCTCACTTGCATAATACAAAAATATCAAGAAATTGTGGTCAGCAAATTTCTTATACCAAAATGAGGTGAAATCAAAAACCTAAAGATATACTAGATTTTTTTTTTTATAAACAAGCAACTAAACGTGGAAAAGAAATAGTCGAACCTCTACCTTCAATGCACATTTATTGTTTCCCAGTGGTTGACAAAAGTGTCACATTACAATACAAAAAGAAGGAATTCTTGCTAAAACTATATAAAGCACTAGTTAGACAACAACTGGAGTATAGTGAACAGTTTTGGGTCCCTATTTACGGAAGGGCAAACTGGCAATGGAGGTAGTCCTAAGAAGTTTCACTAGGCTGATACCGGATATAGAGGGACTGTCTTATGACGAGAGTTTGAGTAGGTCGGGCCTGTACTTACTGGAGTTTAGAAGATTAAGTGGGGACTATATTTGAAACATACAAGGTTCTTAAGTGACTTGAGATAGAGAATAGATGAAGAAGGTTGTTTTCCCTTGTGGGGAGTCTAGGATCTGAGGGCATAATCTCAGAGTAAGGAGCTGTCCATCTAAGGCAGAGGAGGGGAACAAATTTGTGGAGCTCTTTACCTTAATGGGCTGAAGAGGCAGGGTCATTAAGTATTTTCAAGGCTGTGACAGACAGGTTTTAATCAGTAAGGGAATCAAAGGTTATGGGGCAAAAGGCAAGTAAGTGGAGTTGAGGATTATCAGATCAGCCATGATCTCATTGAACAGTGGAGCAGACTCAATGGGCTGACTTCAATGTTTTATGTAAAGATATTTTTCAGTGGAGAGTGTGTGTGTGCGCAGGAGAATGAGATTTAGAAGGGAGTTAGAGGAGAAAAAAAAAGCTAGAAAGACTATACAGAAAAGGTCATCCTTGACATTTTATAATAGAACATTTTAAAATGAAGAATTAAAAAAAACCTAAACACATTAACTAAGAGTACAAGAAATGTTTATCCTTAACCTTACCTGCACAGCAAGGTCTGTGAATAATTGAGATAAAACGGACAGTAATTTTCCACTGCTCCTATGAGTTGCCATTGAAACAGTTAGGTAGTATAGAACCAACTCGGAGTAGGTCGTCAGCATTGGAAGGAGCTGCACAATCCAATGGCAACTTTGGTTGAATAACTAACGAAGAGAAAGAACAGATAGACAATTGGACTGGAAAACCTACACATGAACCACTACAGCATGAACAGAAACCACTCTTTGCTAAATTAGCAAAATTATAGATACTGAAATTTGAAAAGCAAATTCAGCAGAAACCACACAATCTCTTTACAAATTAGAGTTGATAAAATGGAAACAATAACAAGAACACTATTCTGAGCTCCTAGCTCCTCATCATGCAGATCACAGGGGAAGCTTAGATTAGGCATCTTGACACAATAAATCACTGAGACTGTAAGAAAGTGTGCATCAGTGATTAACACCACCAAGCTACTTGGGAAAAGGGTATTGCCAAGTATTTGCCAATCAAAATCTGGGGATGTAATCCTTCAGTTTTCTTTCCACTTGGGCTTTTCAAAATTCTACTGAGAATAACAAATCTAAACTATATTCAAGTAAAATTATATTAACATAGTACTATTTTAATAAGGTACAGAGCCCTGATCCTATATTTATCCTCTCTCATAAAGCCAAAAGGTATAGCATTGATATGCCAAACCGCAGCAAAATTTCAATAATGTGCCAGAAGAGAACTGTTCTTCGAAAACACAACTACAATCAACGGGAGGTTTCCAATACTTCTTGCAAAGTGAAATACTGAGTGTTCTTGTATACATCAAGGGGGGTTAATCAAATTATTATTTTGGCCAGGCATATACATAATGCAAACTTAGGGTCTGCTATCTGCCTGTAAGAAATAAGTAAACTATTATTTTGTTATAACTAGTTATGTATATTTATATATTCTATCGATAGTTATTCTATTAACTGTTTTGTTTTCACAGCAGTAGGCTTTGATTTGCTCAGCACAAATCTGATTTAATACATTAAACCTGCTGATGTAAAAGGCACAAACATATTATAATCTCAGCATAAAACCCATAACAAACCTGGTACTGTTTGAGTGTACACTCCTGACGATAATCCTTCAGTTTTTCAAGAAGGTCAGAAACAATGCTAATAACTTTCACCAAATTTAAAGACGTGATGTCGCTTGATAATCGCTGTCCCAAACATTTACTCAGGTACCCAGTCTGAATTTTGTTCGGCTCCTCCTCATCCCAATTGCCTTTATTTCCTACTGTTGATTAAGACATTAATTTTAGTATGCAGTCACTATTTTCTGCTACTTGCAACAAATCACTCCACCTGCTTTCAGTGAATAAGTCACAAAATTACTCAAATCCTTGACATAATGAAACCAAATAGCCAAAAAACACACTGGTTATTTGGTATCATAACATTATTAAAGGTACATAAGTAAACTGAATTTAAGAGTTACATGTGCTCAGCTGTTAGTTATAATTCTTTACATACATGACCTCTGGTAACCACCTTTGAGAACCACAAATGCCAATTCCTAACTTTCTTATTTGAATATGGTCTTATGTGGAGAGGTGCCAGAGCAGCCTCTTGTTGACAGGAAACTCAAAAGGTTACAGAACACTGTAGTGGAGATAGTGATAATTTGTTTTTAAATTCAGTTTGGGATGCAAGTATCACTGGCAAAACGGGCACTTTTTCCCCATCCCTTCTTGCTCTTGTTCTTAAACAGCTGTAGTCTACAAGGTGTAGGTACACCCATGGTTAGGAAGGGAATTCTAGGTTTTCAACCAGAGCTCCATAAATTCCTGTCCAAATCAACAGCGTTCTTTCCTGTCCTTCCGTCCTCTAAATTACCCTCCTCCAACTCCAATTTTATTTAAATGAGAAAGATCCAGTTGTGAACTAACAAAGAACATTAACACTTAATCAGAAATCTTACCTTGTTCTTTTTCATTCTCCTCTTGCTGCTGCTTTACTACAGCCTGTACAGCACAAAGTACTGTATTAATTGCTGGCTCCACTTGCAGAGTGGAGCCTACTAGCGAACTGACACTGGAATCTAGTGATTAAAGAACACAAAAACAGCAACAGATAATTTACAATGCATTGCTTGGTCAATTTTCTTCCTGTAAAATAGAACAAAAAGGTGTTTCACATTTCATTCTCACCATCAAATGTCAAATTCAGTAGATTTTTCTCCCATGATGCAAATTCAGCTATAGCACAACTGACTTCCTCCTTAATATATTCTAGGCTCTTGAACAGTGCTGGGCAGTAAGATGCATTCCCAGAAGCAGCAGCAGCAAACATGGTCTGTATATCTTGCAGCTGAACCATGGCTCTATTCAAACAACTAATCCCCATTGAACAGGTCTCAAAACATGTCCTGGCAAAATAAAATCACATTTATGTTTACAGGCAGAAAAATAAGCAACTAAAACAGAAATGTGGCATCCATTTTCTTTTACTTGTACTAAACTGGAGAAGTGGCAAGTAACATTCATTCCATAAAAAAGTGCCAGGGAATGTCTATCTCCAGCAAGAGAAATTGTAAGCATCTCTCATTGATGCTCAAAGGCAACATTACCATCAATTTCCAAAACATCATAATTCTGGGGGTTACTATTAACCAGAAACTGAACAGGACCAGCCATGTAAACACCGTGAGGTTGTTGACTTGCTCGCTGAGCTGGCTTGCTCTCGTTCAGATGTTTGGTCCCCATGCTAGGTGACATCATCAATGGAGCCTCCGATGAAGCGATGTTATTCTACTCCGCTTGGAATTTATACCGTCTGGTCCATTATGGTGAGTACTGTCATTTCTGGTTTTGATCTGTATGGGTTTGTATATGGGGTCCAATTCTATATGTTTGTTGATTGCACTATGGGTTGCCTTGTCCCAGTTAAACTGATAGCCTTCATTGTCTGAATGTACCGATATTAAAGGAGAGTTCGTTGTGCCGTTTTGCTGCTAACTGATGTTCATGTATTCTGATGGCTAGTTTCCTTCCTATCTGTCCAATATCATGTTTGTGGCAGTCGTTGCATGGTATTTTGTAAACCACGTCGGTTCTGCACGTTGTGGGAATGTGGTCTTTAATCCTTGTGAGTGTTTGTCATAGAGTGGCTATGGGCTTGTGTGCCACCGTGATTCCTAGTGGCCTTAGTATTATAAGTCTTGGTAACCATAGTAACCCAAACCAAACACAGACATGCACGGGAGTTCCTGGAGGCATGGTTCTCCACCTGTAATGCAACAAACATATAGAATTGGACCCCATATACAAACCCAAACAGATCAAAACCGGAAATGACACTACTCATCATAACAGACCGGACAGTATAAATTCCAAGCGGAGTAGAATAACATCGCTTCATCAGAGACTCCACTGATGATGTCAGCTAACATGGTGATGAGATGTCTGAACAAAAACAAGCCAGCTCAGTGAGTAACTCAACAACCTCATCCACAACCTGAGCTAAAGAACTTAGGCAAAACTTTAAATGTAAACACTGTGGCTACCAGAGCTGGTTAGATGCCAGGAATTCAGTCATGAGTAACATGTCACAACTTCTCAAAATCCTGTCCACCATCTGCAAGATAAAAGTCAGGAGAGCAATGGAATACTTTCCACTTGCGTGGATGAGTGCAGCTCCAGCAGTTCAACACCAACCAGTTTGATCGGCACTCCATCTACCCCCTTCACCTTTCACTCCTTCCAGTGCCATTTACAAGAGATGCAGTGCAGCGATTCACTATGGCCCATAAGAGATGTAGGCAAATGGGAACACTCTCACTTGCATCTGCACCTCCATTCATCCACCATCTCTTGGTCAAAATCCTGATATTTTAACTGCAGCAGGAATGATGTTTGTTGAAGCATAAATATTGGTCAGAAAACTGGGGATAACTCCCCTGATATTCTTTAAAATACAAGTAAGGGATCTTGAATATCTAGCCACCCATGTGGGCAGATTCATTGATTCACACAGCACAGAAAATGCCCTTTGGCCCATTGAGTCTGCACCTACATAACTACCACTAAAAGTGCACTAATCTCAATTTCCTGCACTTGTCCCACATCCTTGAATGATATGATGTTTGAAGTACAACCTTTTAAAAAAATATATGGGTGAGTAAGGTTTCCGGCCTCCAACACCTTCCCAAACAGTGGATTCCAGATTCCCATGACCTGCTGAGTGAAAGACGTTTTTGCTCAAATCCACTGAGTCTCCAGCCCTTTACCCTAAAGCTATGCTCTCTTGTGACTGATCCCTCAACCAAGGAGAACAGCTGCTCTCTCTCTATTTCACCTTGTCCATACCCCTCAAACTTATACACCTCAATCATGATCCCCCTCAAACCCAGTCTTCTCTCCTCTAAAGAAAACAATCCAAGCCTATGTATTTCTCCATCCCAGACCTCCTCTGTATCCCCTCTAGTGCGATCACATCCTTCAAGTAGTGAGGTAACCAGAACTGCACACAGTACTCCAGGTGTGGCCTGACCAACTCTGTGTACAACTCCAACAGTACCTCCTTGCTCTTATACTCTATGCCACAACAGATGAAAGCAATGTCCCAAATGCCTTCTTAAATGTCTTATTCATGTGCTCTGCTGACTTCAGGGATCTGTGAATAATTACTCCAAGATCCCTCTGTTCCTCTAAGTTACTCAGTGTCTTGCCACTCATTAAATACTCCCTCATCCTCTTTCTTCTTCCGAGGTGCAGGTCAGGGCCTTGGTTCAATAGGTCATCCAAAATACACCTGACACCACAGCATTCCTTCAGTACTGCACTGGAGTGTCAGACTTAATATTTTGTGCTTGGGTTTCCGGAATGCGATTTGAATCCAGAACATTCCAACTCAGAGGCAAGTTGCATTGTCATTAGGCAAGTGTATCATCTGCTGAGACACAGCTGATTTTATATAGAATACCTACAGTTACTGTGTTACCAACATGATTGTTTTTAAATTACGGAAAGATTTACCATGAATATAGCAAAGTTTTGCTGGTTTGCTGACTCATCTCATCCACTTGTGCCTTTACTGCTTTAACTTCCTTCAACATGTTTTCCACTTGCTGAGTCACCTGTTGCCATGTGGGATCTCCTCGCCGCATTTTACAAGCATTGGGCAAGTAATCTTCAACCAAGGGTGTGGGGAACCTCAAATGGGGCTGGACAAAATCCTCAGGTAATGATGATGCTGCTGCCATTTCTGCATTTCCTGGGTCCATTTGATCAGTACTGGTGGGTTTGTCCTGCAGCTCATCGTATGTTTCAAATGGTTTCTCTCTTGGACAACACTGCAAGAACCACAAAAGCTGCTCCAAGGCTATCATAGACTTCATCGACAGGGTGCGCAGTTGGTCCATCCAAAGTCTGACATCGGCCTGTGGTGGAAGTGCCACATCATGGTCCTTGAAATCTGCCAGACTTTTCTGAATCTTGTGTAGACTTTTAATCAGATATCTAATAAACAGGAGAAGGGATTTAAATCACAGTTCAAATTTAAAAAAGACCAGACAAATAATGGGCAAAGTAATGACAATGCAATTTTTAAGTAAATAAGTTGCTAAACATTGAAGTTATTATGTAAGGCTATTTAAAAAAACACACACACACACACACACACACACAATTGGAAAATTATAGTTTTACTGAACAAAAATGAAGCCATTAAAACATTTTAACTGCAGAGTCACACAACATACCTCAAGCTGACCCACTGCTCAGTTAGCCCAGTTAGGCACTGCCTTTGTTTGATCAAAAGTTTCAGCAGATGAGCTGTAAATCCTTGACAACGTTCAACATTACCCAGGCTAAGTTCCTACAAAAGCCAAGCAAACTTCATGAAAACAGAAGACTAAAATATGACAAAACAGGAAATCTTTTGCCAATGATTTCAAAACAAGTGGGGAAAAGAAGATCTGAAGCAATAAAACTAATTTGAGCTAGCGTCCTTGTTCTGGAGAATCTGATTAATTTTGTATTTTTCTGAACCCTTTATTTCTTATTCAGTTCATTAGGATTTAATCCAATTATTAATGAATACATCACACAACACCAGTGTCTGTTTATTGAGGTGGCAATTTATTCAAGTCTTCAACTCAGTTTCAACAAGGTTTTCTTTCAAGAAAAATTCTGTTCGTGGCCAATAATTAAATGCCTAGATCCATTATTATTCAGTATTTGATCCACCACCTTCCTAAACCTGACTGCCATTACTTTAAAACTTGGATCACATCGCGTACATGCTGATCTTTTCTCTTCTCCAAAGCAGATAGTGTTTGCTGTGCAGTGATTTAAATCTTACAAATAATCTCTGATCCTGCTATAAATCCTTTCCATTGTTTTTAATTGTTATAGCCACGACAAATGATACAATGGACCACAACAACTGAGTTTGGCATCGCAGCCTGAACATTTTGAAAAGAAGTTTTGAAAAACAAAAAGTTATATTCAAGGATGTGGATGATAATGTTGAGGCAGGATTTATTGCCGATTCTTTGTTGCCTTAAAAATGAATCAGCTTATGAATTAGGAGCAGGAGCAGGTGATGGGCAGTGGGCCAAATACTAGAAAAGGAGATTAGAGTAGTTAGGTGGCTGTTTTTGACCAGTCGGAGACCAAGTAGAAGTGGGAGGTTTCCCTCCTTAAACAAACCAGTTTTTGTTTTAAAGAAAAACAACCTGCATTTTTTGTTTTTCTAGCTACAACGCTCAACATTTCAATTGTCCAACTTGGGATTTGAACTCTCCACTTCTGGGTTGCTAGTACAGTTGCAGAAACAGTAGACCACTATATCCTTGCTTTTAAGGATCTATTCATTCATATAACTTAAAAGCACTAAAGTGCAATAATGCTTTTGTAAATTGGTAAATTGCACCAGTAACCTTCTCCACTTTTTGGCAATACCTCCGATTTCACACTGCACTGATGTGAATATACCTATCCAGATGCTAATGTGACAATCTAATCACTAAGTGGTTCTATACCAATTCCTGACCAACTGAAGACAGATGGAAATTACTATTGTCAAAGATAACTAGGTTGAAATTCTGCCTGTTAATGTTCAGAGTCACTGTGACCATCATTACCTTGGCAGGAGTGCGCATTGCCACCTGGAGGGCAGCACGACGTGCAAGAGACTGATAGAAAAACTTCTGACAGCCTTCCCATGCAGCAGAAATTTCAGCAAGCAACCTGCAACATTAACAAATGTCAATACTAGATATTTCAAACCACGGTATTACACAGAACACAGACCTTTTTAACGAAATAGTATTCTGTGGTATCAGTCAAAGAGCTTTTTTTAAACTCAATTTTGGCATTTTAAAATAATTTTCCAGCACTAGTTGTGCAGATATTACCTGCCATATCTATTTACAATTACAATGCTTCCTATTCACTTCTTTAGGAAGAAAAATAATTTTGTTATGAGAAACTCATGGGAGTAAAGTATCAAAGTTTTAGTTTTGTAAATTTTCATCCTCAATAGCAAAATAAGGGCTGTTAAAACTAAACATTATCAGATACAAGAATGTAAAGTGGGCCAAACCTGAGTGGAGGCCGTTAAATGTGTGTTACTACCCTACTTCAGAGTCTGAAATGGTGGCAAGTTGAGAGGAGCCCCACAGATATCTCGCCCAGAATGTAATTGTTGAGGTGGCAGGAAGGGGGAGCAGTTTCCCCTCCCAGCCAGCTTGCTCAATTACTTAGAGATCTCAAGAACTGCGGATGCTGGAGTCAGAGATAACACAGCGTGGATCTGGAGGAACACAGCAGGTCAGGCAGCATCAGTGCAGCAGGAAATTTGATGTTTCAGGTTGGGACCCTTCTTCAGAAACTAATTTTTCTAAAGTAGAGTCCCGAATTGTTATGTCAACTTTCCTGCTCCTCTGATGCTGCCTGGCCTGCTGTGGTCCTCCAGCTCCACACGGTTACCTCTTGCTCAATTACTTGTCCTTCTCGCCACCTCCAGGGGAGGGGGGTGGGGGGTGGTAGGGGGAGAGATAACCACTCCTTTGCAGTTTACTAGAAGGATGCGGATGCTTTGGAGAGGGTACCAAAAACGTTTACCAGGATGTTAATAAAAACCAAAACGGCTGCGGATGCTGTAAATCGGGAACAAAAACAGAAATTGATGGAAAAGCTCAGCTGGTCTGGCAGCATCTGAGAGAGAAAACAGTTAACATTTCGGGTCCGGTGACGCTTCCTCAGAACTGTTCTGACGAAGGATCACCAGATCTGAAACATAAACTCTGACTTTCTCTTCACAGATGCTGCCAGACCTGCTGGAAAAGCTCAGCAATTTCTGTTTTTGTTCTTTTTGTTTTTTAAAACCAGGATGTTGCCGGGTAGGGGGAATTTTAATTATGAAGAAAGGTTGGATGGACTGGGTTTGTTTTCAATGGAACGCAGGAGGTTGCGGGGCAACCTAAAAGAAGTTTATAAGATTATGAATGGCATGGATAGAGTGGAAAGTATGAGGCTTTTTTCCCCACAGTGGGAAGATCAATTACTAGGGGACACGGGTTCAATGTGCAGCGGCGGGGGTGGGGGGTTGAAAGAGATGTACAAGGCAGGTTTTTCACACAAAGGGCAGTGAGTGCCTGGAACACACTGCCAGAGGTAGTGGTGCAAGCAGACACAATCACAGTATTCAGGAAGCACTTGGACGAAAACGTGAGTAGGAAGGGAATAGAGGGATACGGATCTACTAAGTGAAGACCGTTATAATATGGAATGGCAAAACGTGTTGGTGTGGGCTTGGAGGGCCGAAGAGCCTGTTCGTGTGCTGTATTGTGCTTTGTTCTCATATAGTTTCGTTTTCCAATTAAGTAAAACTCTCAGTCACAAAACAAGATTTCCCTGACAATATTATCTACAATTTAATCTAAAAGCAATGTTTTGCATCTTTCTGCAATTAAGAACCTTGGCATTTCCTGTAGTCAAGTGAGAGACCTACTCCCAGAGCTACATTAAAGTAAGTCCTTCTTCAGCCACAGAGACATAAGAGCTTCACTCGTGGCCAGTTTTGCCGATTTTTCCACTTGCTGTCCCACCCACTGACTGCATTGAAGTTTCCACTTATTCACTTCATACAGCAGATGTTAAGAACTAGTTAAGGACTACTTAGTGAAGGACAAGTCTACATCTTAGCAACCCAAGGACCTGCATACTGCTGCTTGTCGCCGCCTGCCCTTTTCCACAAACAATTTTTGTACAGTTAACAAAATTAAAGATTATGTTCTCATATTAAATTTCACCAGAAACTGGCAGCTTACATGTTATCCAGCTCATCACCACTGCTAATCAGATTTACAGCTGTCTTCACATCAAGTGGATGCAGGCAAAATACATCCTGAGGGTCATCTGTTCGAGACCAAGCTAGTCCTTTACGGTAAGAGAGACCTGAAAAGGAGGAGAGGAAGTACAATACACTATATTTCAGAATGCTGTGCCCCCAGTTTACTGTAGTTTCTCAGTCTGGAGTTCTTCACACTCCATCTCTCGATCCATCTGAGCTCTCTTCCCCACAAAACCACTTCAGAACATCCCATCATAACATTCGAATCCTGCCATGGCAGATGGTGGAATTTGAATTCAATAAAATATCTGGAATTAAGAATCTAACGATGACCATGAATCCATTGTTGATTGTTGGAAAAACTCATCTGGTTCACTAATGCCCTTTAGAGAAAGAAACTGCCATCCTTACCTGGTCTGGCCTACATGTGACTCCAGACCCACAGCAATGTGGTTGACTCTCAACTGCCCTCTGGGCAATTAGGGATGGGCAATAAATGCTGCCTAGCTAGCGAACCCTCATCCCGTTAATGAATAAACAAAAAAACAAACAGCAATAATTTGGAGCAAGCGGTCAGTGAAGCAAAGTCTCAATGGCAATAAAGCCACTTGATACAGTCCATGCACAACCTTTATGACTAGCTCTTTTCTAAACTGAGGCCTGCTTTCAACAAATCAGGTCTTACCTTTTTGACAATCAAGGCACCTAGAATTACAAGATGGAAATATGAATTGAATTCAAAGGGTAAAGTCATACTGATGCCACTTGGCATCAAATTCAGTTTCATTTGTAACCCCAGCCATGAACTACTCCATGTATTTAATACACAGTCTTTATTAAAATTCATAGGCTCCTGCTAATGGTACTTAGGCAAGTCTTCAACCACTGAATAATAGTGCACATTATAGGATACAAAACTTCTGTATAGAGTTTACACATTCTAACTATTTATATCAATCCTGTCATTTATTTAAGGCCATGGTTTTAGTGGTATAAATCCTGATGTTATAGTTTATCAGGGTTAAGAGAAAGTCCTCAAATGCTTGTAAATATCCAGCTCCAGTCCAGAGGAAAATAACAAAATGACAATTAAACGCCAAAGATCTTGGGAGAATCTGCACAAAACTATTCTATAAACCAATACAGTGCTCGAAGCTTACCAATTTCAGTGAGATGTTTGAAGAGATCTGCCAAGGCCCTTTGCTTCTGCATCAGAATATGTTTGATTTCCGATCGCTGCTTGTCCTTATCAGCCACTTGGTCAACAGTAAGAGTTTGGAGATCTTGTACAGTAGTGATGACATCACCTACCAGAATCAAGACAGAGCTCATAATCCTTTGGGTTTACTGGGAAGGTTTATCAGTGGTTAAAATAATAGGCAGCTTAAGATTTCCCTAATTTCATCATTGACAGATATCCGTTGTTAAGAACTACTCATAATATTGAATATTTTGTAGTTGGGATGACCATCAAATTTACCTATTCATACTGTTAAATGTAGCCAACAATATAAAGTATACACAAACTATTCAACATACTGCCAACAAACACGTACAACTAGGAACCCTAGAAGCTTTATTTGAGAAAATAAAACTCTGAACATTTTGCACATAAAGATAGCAAAGAGAAAAGTAGGGTTAGTGGGCCGAATTTTCAAACAGTAGTAGAAACTCCATGGACCTTTGTAAATGGTAGATGAGAACCTGATTTGGAAGTCCAGACCCCATTTCTGATGGTGGGAGGCATCTCATGTTTGGTAGCTAAAGGGAGCAACGCATGGTTCACACCAGGAAAACCCAAACTCAGCAGGGCCAACTGAATTCATATCGAATTCAGAAAGACTCCATTTTCACTATCACAAGGGCCTGGACCTGCATTTGGGAACGACAGATTTTTAAAATAGTCATAGATGCTTGTAAAAGGCAAACAAGGTCTGTGGAACTCATAAGCTGAGAAGTTATTTTAGTGCGCAGCCCTTTCACAAATGGGGACAAAAAGAGATTGCCTGTGTCAGTGAGAGTTGAAAAAATCTCTGCTCTTGCAATTACGAAAGCTATTTGTTGACATTTATCCAGGGTTATAGTTGTATTATTACTAATGTTTGGCTGCTTTCCACAAACTTTAACTACTTCAAGAGTGGGGTCCTTAGTTTGCAGTTTGATTGTCCACTCAGCGGTTATTAAACGAAGAGCTGTCTTAGGTTAGAGTTATGAATTTTAAAAAAAACTGTCTTTTTGCTAAAAGAATTATATACTTGAGAGGGTTTAAGAATTGAGAATGGGCTTTCACACGAGACTTTTAAAAAATATATATACACACATGTACAATAAATATTATACAATAGATATTCAGACCTTTATTAAATGTCATCTTTACATGGCTCCTGTGGACACTGTTGGGTTGGAATGTAGGTGTAAGGGTGGGAGGGTAGTAGGCACAGGCTTGGGTTGTCATGCATTTGCAATAAATTGGTATGGAGGCAATATGAGGTGAGGGATAGAGGGTCTAAAATTTAAACCAAAGTGGACCTGTTAAGCAGCCTGTCTCAGCACTCAGTGGCTGACTGCAATCTGCTTCAGGCAGAGGCAGGTCCCACTGCATCCTCCACCTGTCTAAGGTCGGGGGGGAACAAAAATCAGGTCTGACCCGGCCACTTTCTCCAGATGGTGTGTGAAGAAGCAAAACTTCTCGACTCTCGCTAACTGCCTCGGCAGCAAGCGATCCTGACATTTCACCATAGTCGCTTGATGCTGCTGGACCGTGACATGCTGACAACATTGGTTCATATTTTGATTTCAGATTTTTAGCATCTGCATTAGCTTGCTTTATTTGGGAAATTTATGGTATGCATGAATAAGAATCCTGCTGTACTTTAAAGACTACAGGACAGGGGTCAATGTTTGAATTTGGAACATTCATGAAATTATCAAAAGGCTAAAGCCTTTTGCTGTTATTTATCACATCGGCACCAACTCTTAAACTCTATTAGTAACCTTCACCAGATCAAACATTTATTCATGTTTCTTAAAAATTATGGTTCTTCCCTGCACTTGATTCCGTTGAATGGAGGTGTATGTAAAATCGTAATAAAATGAAGGGCATATAATCACCCAATAACCTCCTGGAAACCATTTCTTCTACATTACAATCACTGCTTGGTTTAGTCCTTTGTCATTTCTTTATTCAACACTTTTTTTAATAAAAAGCAAGTTTCACCAACTGAAATAACAAGGTGTAGAGCTGGATGAACACAGCAGGCCAAGCAGCATCAGAGGAGCAGGAAGGCTGACGTTTCGGGCCTAGACCCATCTTCA